GAGCTTCCCCACCAGGAGTCGAACCTGGAATCTTCTGGTTCCAACCGAGAAGTGGTTACGCAATCGTAGCCAGACGCCTTGACCATTGGGCCATGAGGAACGAAGCTCAATTTTTTTTCTTTTAGCATTGAATGTTAGTGTAGAATACAACGTTGGCTGCAACTTTTTTTTAAGGATACTCTAAATGATGTTTGGTGCTATCGAGAAATTTAGTAAAATATTGCGAACAATTATTGCTTTGATGCTAAAGTCGATCGCGATGCTAGACATTGAAGAGAATATTTTATGGGACCTAAGTATCAATACGTAGCTTCATTGGTCTTGTAATATTACGAATAAAGTAGAATTTTGCAGTGCTTATTGGCATTACAATTTAATAAGAAATTCAATAAGAAACTAAGAGGCATCATCGAATTCTTATATGGTCAGTTAGCATAACCCTACAAGTATTCTCGTAAGCAATAGATCTCGGATACAATAAATCTACAGAAATTTAAAAGTCGGCGTACTCATAATAAAAGATATAAATTACGACTATTTCCAAAATAACCGATACGAACTTAATGCTCCAAGATTGTCAAGTTTCCTGTGACAACTACGTTCTCCAAAATTGAGCCATTTGGGATATCAATTTTTTGACCATCACTACAGACAATGATGACGGTACCCTTTAAGGTAACACCCTTACCTAAAGTCACATTACCCGTAATAGTAAGATGGTCTAATTCCAAAATCTTTGGCATGTGAGGAATTCTTGCCTGGAATCCACTAACTTTCTTAAAGTGAGATCCAAGTTTTATAAGTGGATTTGAAAAACCATATCTTGTAGCGTCTAGTTTAAGAGCACCATGTTCCAAATGGAATAGATCGGATTTTACAAGTAGTAAATCAGAGCATGTTTTAACTGGCAAGAACCTGGACCTTGGAACCACAACACCATGGGCACCGTCAAAGTGCCTGATTGCAGCACCAACAGCAGTTTCTAATTGCAAAACATTGATTTCCACGTTACCTTTGTGAATAACTTTTTGGTTCGGTATAATTTCGACTTCAAGATCATTTTGTTCTACCAATTTCTTGATTGCTCTTAAATTGATCCATAAGTTATTGGTGTTGAAATATTTAAATTTCTTAATGGATTTAAATTCTTCAACGTGCTCCTTAGGAACCTGAGCTATTTCCAATAACCTCACTTGACCCTCATAATTGATCAAAGTACCACCTTTAACATCTGCTCTCGTCTTATCTGTCAATTCCATAATGTAATGAGCACCCGTGTCAATCATATGATCCAAAATTTTAGTATCCACAGTTGCACCTAAGTTATCACCGTTAGAAACAAACAAAATCTCTCTGCCTTGGGCCAACAATGAATCCAACTCTCCAGATTGAACCAAAGATTCAAATAAGTCACCATGGCCAGGTGGATACCAGGAATCCAAAGAGTCATTATATGACTCTGGTACTGGCAATAAGGAATCCTTATATATTCTCGGGAATCGAGATTGGTTGAATGTTCTCACCCTAATTCTATGTCCTTGATACTTCTTGATTATCTTTGCAGTATCGGCATCGGTATTAAAAGAGTTCATCAAAAGTAACGGAACATCAGCATCATATCTTCTGTTTAAGTGCTCAATCTGTCTGACAGATAAATCCAAGAATGTGTTGCCGTCTCTGACTTCAATGACAGACTTGGGGCCGACACAACCCATAGAAGTACCTAACCCACCATTTAATTTCAATACCGCCAACTTTGAAAGATTATCTGAACCGCGGTCTTGCAACGTAGAATATTGAACAACCTCTGATGGGGATGGGGACTTGATCTTATCCCAATCCAAAGTATTACCAGATGCCTTGTCAGTTAAATACCTCCTAAAGAGAGCAAAAAAACTATCCATTTGACTCTCGAATCTCGCTTGTACCTTCTCATCTTCAACTGTATCAGCTAAGTGATTCAAGGCATTGCGCATCTGAGATGCTGCCACATTTGTAGCGGTATTGTCAAAAGCCTAGAAAGAATTTGTTAGTCATTGTTGTTTTAAATGGCTATCGTCTACAGAACAAGTTTAAAGAACTCTTATGTCTTCGCTTCTCTAAGGCGACATGCACAATAACGTGGAAACTCCGAGTTACTTACGTAGGTTGATTGGGACTTGCTATGCTTTTTCGTTCCAACTGAATCCATTGTGTCTAGTTATCGAATGTCTTGCAATGTAAAGTAACAGACGCCCTTTCCTTTTGTCCTCGTTGTTGAACAGCAAATAAGCAAGCGCCGTAAATTTGCCAAAATTTATACGTCCCCAAACAAAAAATCGAGTGAGCGCTCAACTTGTGTACCTAGCCGTCCAAAATAGCATACTAAACCGACCCTGCCCCCCCGACTTAGAAATTGCTGCCATTCAAAGATCGAACACTGTATAGAAGGGATGCAGTAAACTGTTGGAGGAGATCCGCATTCCAGTACTGGAGCCGTGGGTTTCGATCGTGAATAGTTGCTCTCTAGCCATAACACTTGCTGCACTTTAACACACCTCAGACTCCACCACCGACAATACCGCAGGGAAGGAAACGAGATCGCAAAGGCGCGCTTCAAACGCGCATTGACATTTTGCCCGAAATCCGGAGAGAACCCCGAAATAGCTATTGCTTAGCGACAATACACATAATACTTGTTATCAAGAGATGGCTAGACTGTAGCCAACTAGACGTATATGCCCATGAGTTCTTCATTACGTGGCACAATTGAGTAATTAGCCGTCTAGTTTATAATTGCGTTTGGAGGAGACAATGTGACCCTTTTTTGACCCTGAACTAGATAAATGGTAGGGCGCTGATCAAATTAGAGGCACATTTACCAAATATAGGTTCAAAAACACAGAAAGCGGAGAGTGCAAGGGATTAAAATAAATCAGATAATCTACTCTATTAGGGGTTAATGAGATGTTTCCGTACTATAATTGGTTTCATCGTTTCTATATCTATAATATTTATCCATCAGTTACTTATATTGCATTTTAATTGAATTCCTGCAACCAGACATCCAAAATATACCTGAACTTAGCTCTCGCAAGGGCATTGTACGTGAACTTGGCACTATTTTTATTCTCTTGAGGACTACCTACAACATCATAGGCGCACCAATAAGATGTTCCGTCCTCCCCACCAAATTCATCAAATTCGATCCATCCTTTGCTGGGTTCGTTGAACTCAGTGTTGTGGATAGGTGTTTTGATAACTGGCGGCTTAATAACAGAGTCTATAAAAAGTGGATTTTGTTCAATTGTATCTGCGTAGAGTTCTCTATTACCAACCCCTTCTTCCTCTCGAAATCCACTATTATTTTCAATCATGATGGAGTATTTTTTCTCCAAATCTCGCCTGAACTCTAGCTCATTGTCAACCCAATTTTGCAACTGGTGATTTGTCACATACAACAAGGTTAAATCATCTTTATCGTATAACTGAGCCCAGCTTGAGCTACATATTTCTTTTGATTCTGTGACGTATTTGGGTTTATTTTGTTCTGGAGTAAAAATCCCTGCTGCCACTCCATAATTCTTATTAAACACAACCTCTTCCTGAGCTCCCGATATTTCTTGACCAAGCCATATAAAGTCAGGATCCAAAGAACTCTTAGCCATGGCAAACCTTGCAGTGAGTAAAGGGTATAGCTGAAAGTTGCAAGATACTAGGAGCCCGCTTAACGTTTTTGACTTTTTGATTACCATAAGCGATGGATCCATTAAACGAAAGAAATGATCAACAAAGACACGATTGGAAGCAGCTCCTACACCCGACCTTCTGGAAATTCCGAAATACTTTTCATCGGAACTAGAAGGCATGAGAAGCAGAGTAATGAATGACTCTACTTCAAAGTAGCCTGGATTAAAAATCCGCGGTTTGGATGAAGTGTATGATGGATTTTTGAAGAATAAAGTCCCATGTTTCTGGTAGTCTTCATTCTGAAATAATGATGACCCAAAGTTTTCAAGCAAAGGAATCGCGTCTGAATCTAGCACTATTATATCTTCAAAAGAATTGAAAATTAAACTTAAACTCAAGATGAAACTAGGACTATTAAACAAATAACTTTTTGACACCATTGGATGCTGTTTAGAATTTTTTACAGTTGAAAGGTCTGCAAACCATAAATCTTGTTTTGGATAATCATTAGAAGAGATAAATTGATTCGATATGTCACGTCCATACTTTAACTGAAAGTACAGTCCAAAAGAATCAGGAAAACTTGATATTTCAGTTCTTGCTTCTGATATCAAAGCACTTTTGTCATTTTCGTTCAAATCTCCCCGCATATAAGTTATCTCGATTGGTAGGTCGTTCTTCAAGGCCCGTAAAACCTTTATCAAATTTCTGATATTTCGAATTTGATGACTTTTATAATCAGATGGATAAATCGGTATCACTATTCCCTTACCATTACTCTTAGATATCAAATTACTTAAAAAGCAACTCGAGTCTTGAGAAAATTCTTTATCTACATGGTGTGGATACCTGCCGTCCTTGAGAATTCCTCTCTTCCAGTTTTCAAAAATAGGGTAATTTCCAGCCAACCAGGGGTATAGCTTTCTTGCATAGGTCAGGCAAAAATCACCATCATCGGAGACTCCTTCTTGTTTACTATCTAGGAAACATTTTCCAAATACTCGCATATGACTGAATTCCAGGAACAACCGCTCTTCTAATAGGGACGTGCTTTTGAGATCTGCTTCATATTGTGCTCTAATTTGCTGCTCCTGTTCTTTGGTAAGTCTGAGGCCCTGTTTGAGTAATTCTCTCCTCTGTTTCTTTATCTCATTTCTCAACCACTTCGGCTCTTTGTAAATCAAGTTGTTGAATTCTTGTCTTAATATTTCTTCAATATCAAAAATATATGGAGAATGCGAATACAACTTATCGAGCCCTGAGAAGTAGGCATGACATTTCTTGTTAAAGTTTCTGCTTTGAACTTGATTTATAACACCATTGTCCCACTTACTGTAGATCAGATTCCTAAAGTTCGATCTTTCACTAAGAATATCAAACTTTTTCTGGTCTGAATTTTGAATTGTCTCCACATTTGAAGTGAATTTCGAAGTCAAAAGTAAGAGCACGGTTGCAAAGATTATCAAAGTAAGGAACCTTTTGGAACGAAAAAGTGTATTGTAGATGACGAAATCGAAATATTTTACCTTCATTTCAAAACATTTCCAAGAAACACAAGTTACTATGTTTAAGTCTAATTATAGTCTGAAATCTTGCACGCGATTGACGAATGCAGCGCCTTTTTATTCAGGTACAGTCTTACTATAAAGGATGAACAGAATCTTTCTATTTAGAGGAAAATCAAGAGAATGAAGGAGAAAATAGAATAAACACGATAAACTGCTGGAGTGAACATCATATAAAGCCAGTAAATATTTACCACCAAGCTTGCCCCAAAAAGCATAGGCAAGAAAGAAATATCTCGAGTTTATTCTATGTATACATTCACCTTATTGAAAGATTTACAGATCATTTCGACGTATCATGTATAATCAGTTTGTTTTTAGAATAAACCTTCTTTGGCTTAGTTCATTGCAAAGAAGTCCTATGAACGATCCGAATCAGGGTCAAAGCCAGTTACGATTGAAGGAATGTACAAAATGCAGAATTCTCATTTAAAGTTTCTAAGAGATAGGCACGAAAAGTCGTTTTCATATTCGAGTCAGAATCGTAACGATTTACTTACTAGTCAGCACTGCGAATTAGATGGTGATTGCTAATCTTATGAGAGGCAGATATATTTAGACAAGCTGCCTATAAAATCGCTTCGTTAAATTCAGTAGCTCATTTGAAAGCTTGCAGTGTCATATTAACGCTTTACCAATAGCTTTCTTATCTTCTGCCCCTCTCTTTAGTGATCGAAGTTATATTGTGGCTTTCCCAAAAACTTGATCTAACTCATTTATACTGTTGTCTGTTGAATTAGATTTGTTATCGCTCTTATTGATTTCGACCTTTTTAGGAGTCATGACACCCTCAAATGAATTGAAGCCTGGTGCAACCAACCTCTGCTTCGATTCTACCCATTTTTCAAATGAATGAACGTCCTCTAAATCACCTAGACCAGCATTGTTTTTCATTAACTCTATTTCTTTCTTCCATTTAAGCAATTCTTGTTTATCTAGGGAGAATTTAGGAGGAATGACGGAATTTGGGAGGTTGGGAATTAATTTATTATAGTTTGTATTCAAAGTAATGGGCTTGGGTGGTTGATATGCTGGGTTCTTGACAAGGGGAACTTGCTGTAGAATTGGATCCGCTTGCTTAGTTAGCCTCTGAAACTTTCAATTATAAATAATCATTATACTTACGTTTGCTCGTATCGTCCATTGCTAGACTTATTTTGGCTTTACTTATCTTAATTATGAATGGCAGTGGAATTATGGAAAACATTACATGTCCATACTGTATATAAATCCGATAAGCTGACGGATATGAATAGCAACAATTTCTGAAAAAAAAAAGGAAATACAATTTGATGAGATATGTTGAATGTAAATAGCACTAATATCAACAATAATTGTGAAGATGGAGCTCGAGATGTTCTCAGCAAAACCTGCACTCTCTCATCGGAAAATGATCTGAGGTCCTTGAACGTCTATCAGGTCCTCTCTCTCAATTTCATTGATATAAAATTACCATATCATTCCTTCTCTCTTTCGCCTTTACACTGATTGTTAATGCTTACTACTAAGATGGAGTACATCCTTACTTGCTATGCACCGAGACATTCCCTATCAATCTACATTTCAAGAAGTCGCAGGCATACTTTACTGCAGATAATATAAGACCAAACTCTATTTTCTTTCTGCATTTTCAGGCTGTAGAGAGCAAAGATAATTCTAATGGAGATTCTATCTTATCATTAGGAGATGCTTCTTGTTCTAATGCTCCTAGAAATTCAGCCACTACATGAATTTTCTGTACTTCAAAGCCTTCAGAATACAATGCATCTCAATGCCTATACACTACTATTTTAGGAAGTCTACACGATTTTTTTTTTGCATTCGCACAAACTTTTTCTTGATTATTGTAACAACACTGCCATAATATAATTTATAATTTTTAGTTTTATTCTTTACTGCTGAAACTGACAATATTATTTCATTGACTTAACTATTTATCATTCGCTAGCTAATTTTGTACCATAAGACATACTGGAGCAAATATGCGTACTTTTGCTCTTTTATGGTTGGCCTTCGCTTGCTTGGTAATGGGGGATGTTTCCATAAGTCAACCAGCAACAGGAAAATCATATCTGGCATCCGGAGGAGACGTAAGTGTTGAGTTAGCCTGGGTAGATGATGGAGGAGATAGCACTTTCAATTTAAAAAACTACAAATCATATACGATCAGTATCTGTACTGGTCCTAATTCTGCTATCAGCTGTCCACTTCTGCTCAAGAAAGAGGCACAGATTAGTGACAAGAAATATACTGCCTCTATAGACTCCACTGATTTGCCCAATGGATATTACTATTTCCAAATATATACGGTGTTCAAGGAAGGAATAACTATCCATTACTCAAATAGATTCCAGTTAAAAAACATGGAAGGTTCAACCAAGACTCTTTCTGAGCCCGTCACCGCCACAGGTCTGCCACCCGGTGCTCAAACACCTTCCGGTGCAGGTGGTGATTCTTCAATAAACTCTGCTTCATTTTCCGTTACCTACACAAAACAAACTGGTAAAACAAGATTTGCTCCTATGCAATCGATCCCTGGCTCCAAGATTACGAAAACTACATGGTCAAGGAGATTTCCAACAAGTGCAGTTACACATTTTTCAACAAATGCAAAATCACCAAACGTTTATTCTACAATTACTCCTGGATGGAGTTTTTCGATTACTTCCGACATCAATTATGCTTCGATCGCTCCTTACCCCAGTTACTTCTATAATCCTAGCTCAAAAGTCAAACAGGCTTCTTTGTCAAGTGCCTCTAAATCAAAAAGATGGCTTGACTAGATATTATGATTTTTACTCTTATGCTACCATTTTATCCAACGTTTATGTTATTCTAATTAAGTAGTAAGAACAGTGACAGTTACCTCCGAATTTTGAAAGGGAGGTTGGTAATGAATATAAAATAAAAATAAAAAAAAGTGGATTTGATTCGGGGCTGATGGAAGATATACACATGTCACATATATTCTTAAATAAACACACATATGTCTTCTCTAATGTACAAATATGAAATTATATTTCTTTTAATGATAAAGGAAATAGATAAACGATTTGGATGGAAGGAATGCTGAACAACGACTCTTATGTTTTAATATCCTCGAGCAAATCATTGTCGACCAAACATAAATAAAACTCGATGCTATCCATAGTTCTTAATTATCTCTGTAATGACGAATCAATATATAAGCATTCTCTTGCTTTAAATTCGATAATGAGCGATAGCCACCCTCTAAGCACATCAATAAACCACCAAATGAGATATAAACTGACATCTTGTCAGATCCAGCCGTTTCATCAAATTTGTAAACAGTTCCATACATTACATAGTCATAATCATCAGCGAGAGATCTATCGCCAGCTTTCGGAGGTCTCCATGACCCACTAGCAGTCAACATAGATGACTCATTACCCAAAGTTGATGCTAAAGTGATAGTGAGAGAATCATTATCTCTCACAGGAAAAACTTCACTATTGATGTCTAAAGTTATCTTGACATCTTGCGAGGTTGACGATTGAGCAGAAATACGACTCACTTTATTATATCTTCCAACATCAACAGAGTCAACGTTGAACATATCTTCGAAGAGGATCCCTGACATCCTTTTAACAATCTATATTTGTTTCGCTAGCTCTAGTTTACTTTCATTCATTTGTATATTTGAGCGATGAAAAATTTCTGACCTCATTACGGCCACATCACATGATAATAAACGTGCCGAGCAGACTTCCGAGATGATGGATTCTGGAAGAGGAAATCATTTTTGAGACAGGCCTGCACCGAAAGCCCATCTTTCAAGCCAGAGCGGTATTTTGGTTTTCCATATTTAGTAGTTAGTTGGATCACTGCCATTAAATACCTACTTTCAACCTTTTGAATTTTATTGATCTTGAGGACAGCTAGAAAATAAGGTACAGTTAGGCTGATATAGGGAGTGTGGCTACAATTATGATTATCGGAGTGAATGAAAAGAGCCAGCGAAAGACGGGATTAGAACTATCCAAAGTGACAAGAAATATCCTTCTTTTGATTTGCATTTTACTAGGATTGGCATACATTATGAGATCAACATGCTTTCATAGATCAGATGGATACATTCAAAGCAGCATCCAAATTAATGAAAAACAAGAAAAACTTGGTGACTCTATGACACAGCCAAATATGGCAGAGGTAACGGATTTACATTTTCATGATGACAGTCCGAATTTGCATAACAAAAAGGAAGACCCGAAGAAGAGAAGAGATAATAAGAAAGGTAACTCACTTTTGAAGCTGCCTTGGATTCGATTTTTAATTGCATTTGGCGTATTCGTGGCTTTGAATATGCTCGTTATATGTATCCACCATATTTATCAAAAATTGTCCAGCTCTGAAAAGTCATATAGGTCAATTGAGCTGAATATTTCTCCGTTTTAATTTTCGGATCATAAAACTTGAAATGTGCAAAAGATAAGCAACTATTCTATTATGAAATCTTCTTTATATAATGCTCGGGTTATTCCGAGCAACACATTATACGAACTCGTCTTTAGTATACGTCGTATGCAAAGGAACATCAGTAGCAATGTCGTACCGCATGTAATTTTGTAGTTAAATGTAACACCAAGATAAGGACATAATTGAATAAATTTTCGCTCCTGTCGTAGTATTTGTTCAGTGGAAAAAGTAACGAGAATTCAATGTTGCTTAAATAAGGGGAACGAGATAGAAAAAAAAAATGCAAAGACTAGAAAGTATTTCTTTAGGTAAGCGTATTGTCCAAATCATATGCGCTATTACATGGTGTTTGCTAGCTGCTGGACCAGTGTTTGGGTTCGCTGCCTTGAAGCCAATATTAATTAGTGAGCACATCTACGAAGATAAATGTGAAGTTAAAGCTAAAGATTCTTCTGTGGCATGTGTTGAGCAAGACTTAGCTTTGAACTTTCTTTTCACTGTAGCCTGTATGGTCACTAATATATCAGCTTTACCAGTGGGCTCAATACTAGATTCTTATGGTCCTAAAGTTTCTGGTATCATTGGTTCAATTATTATATTTTTAGGAGCACTATCGTTAAAGTTTGGAAAATCAATAACGCTCTTCGATGGGTATTTGACTGGGTATACTCTTTTGGCACTTGGAGGCCCCTTTGTTTTCATATCATGTTTCCAATTGGCCAATAGTTTTCCAAAAAACTCAGGCTTAGTTTTAGCATTGTTAACTGGCGCCTTTGACTCTTCGCTGGCCCTTTTCCTAGTTTACAGAATAATTTACAGTAATTATCATAAATTAGGGTTGAATGCTTTCTTCACTTATTACTTATTCGTTCCATTGTTCATTCTTTTGTGCCAATTATTTATCATGCCTAGTGAATCTTACAAGACAGTTGGCACGTTAGCAAAAATTGCAGAGACAGCCATCGATGAATCAGGAAAGCCTTTAAATCAAGATTTGTTGTTACCTGAGGATAGGGACGAGAATGAGGTTGTAGCGTATGCGCAGCCGACAATAACAGAAACGACTTCTTTGTTAATGAGGAGAGCGTCTGGTACGAGAAGAGCATCTGTAGCTCTGAGAATGTCGTATGCTTCCAGAGCGTCTATGAAGTCAGTATACGAAGAGGAAGCTGAAACGAGACTATTGAATACCACTGGAGGAATCTTTGGAATTATGCAGGGTTACTCAATTGGTGAACAGTTAAAGTCTCCATGGCTTACGTTGATGACGTTATTCACCACAATACAAATGTTAAGAATCAATTATTTTGTTGCTACTATTAGGACTCAAGAGAAATACTTGTATGATGATGATGCCGTGGCTACAACAATTAATCATTTCTTTGACTTGGCTCTTCCTTTAGGTGGACTTGCATCGATTCCTTTCATCGGGATAATTTTAGATAATTTCAGAACTTTAGCTATTCTCAACATCTTGACATGTATCTCCTTATTCATCGGCGTTATGGGTCTTTTATCTTGGCTTCCAGGAACTTATGCCGGAATAGTTAGTTTAGTGGTCTACAGACCGCTATACTATACCGCTGTTTCTGACTATTGTGCAAAGATATTTGGATTTGACACTTTTGGGACTATCTATGGCTCGATAATCTGCTTTTCAGGAATTTGTAATATTTTGCAACAAGTTATGGACAAAGCAACTCATGAGGTTTTCAACATGAATCCAATTCCGGTAAATTCTATACTAACTGCTTTGACTGCAATATTCGCTGTCATGTTGATGGCATACGTTAGAGGTCAGGAGAAGAATATTAAGAGAAATAGATTAGAGATAGAAGCTCAAGAAGCTACTATAAGAAATGTTCCAATCTAGAACCTACACAAACACAAAGGTACACACAGATATATATTTATATTATGTAGGTATATAAATGCAACCTAGTAGGAACATTAATTGACATGAAATCGATCCGAAAAGCCTGACGAGTGAAACGGAACTCCTCCTCTCGAGAAAGCAACATCTACAACGAAAGATGAATTACTGAAGTCGCCTATTCTTCCTATTTTCTTTCTTCTGCTCTAGCACTAAATCGGGATCTAGCGCAACCAGATCAGGCACAGCGAGGACCTTCGAATTAGAAACCAATGGCCCATCGACAACATCATTCCTTAGTCTACTAGATAACTCACTCAGTTTCCTAGAATTCGACAACTCAATGTTATGCTCAATATTAGCTCTTTTGGAAACCTTTACTATTTTGTGCTCAGGAAATTGTTCTAGCATACTAAGCGAATCTAACATGATCATTTAGTTTTGTTCAGTTTTGCGTTATTTCTTTCTTCCTTCTCTACTTCTCTTCTAGAACCCTTTATCAATTCCAAGTGACCTACTCTTCCAGCAATAACCTTCTCTGTTGATTTCATTAAATGTCCCAGATGAAATTTATTTAACTTTTGAGACTTTAATGCAGATGATCTTCTAGGTTTCAAGATTTTGGGTGCAGCCTTTTTAGGGTTTCTTTGCTTTTTAGTGACACGAGCGGGTGCCTTGTTTTTCAATTTCAAGTTTCCTTGAGCCATTAAAACTTGAATACTTTTTACCTGCCCCAATACTAGAAAGACTTGATTATTGATATGGTACAAAACATAGATTTTTTTTTTTAAATTTTTTTTCCTTAATTCTATACACTCATCTCATTAAATGGAAATTTTCCAGAGTCATTCCTGCAAAATAACTTTAAACAAAGGTAGGCTCCAGAAAGCTAATTCGTTTGCTATTCATAGCTCCTGATAGGTTCAAACTAGACAACTGAAGCAACAGGTCTTTGGTCCTTTACAGAATCTGGTTTCAGAATAAAAGGAAGATAATATCTATCAAGTTTTGCTCGCAGATATGACCAGTGATAATTTTCTTATATTGCCTGGGCCCAAGGCATTGTCAGACTTTAGAGTAAAGAACTTGGTGAAGGAAGTAGAGGAGAAGCTTGGGAAATTCAATATATTCTCTGAGGTATCTTCGTGCTATACTCATTACATTGCGTTGAAGAAGTCCCTCAGTGAAGAACAGCTTGATTTATTAAAGATTTTGTTGACATATGACTCTCCAACCGATGATACTCCATTTGCGAAGAAGTTGGAAGCCTTATCATCCATAAGTGGTGATGAAAACACTTCGAATATTGAGATTGGGACAGGCAATTACCTTATTAGAATACTTCCAAGGTCGGGAACTATTTCGCCTTGGTCATCAAAGGCAACAGATATTGCTATCACTTGCGGATTGGCAGACTCAGTAGAAAGGATTGAACGTGGATTGTCTTTATTAATATCTACGAAGTCCCCCGTCGAAGGTTTAGAAAATGGCGAGTTGTTGACTTCAGTTTATGATAGGATGACTCAGTCATTATATTTCGACAAAAATGCACCAAAGCATGATGACTTGTTTGCTCACCACTCCCCAAAGCCTTTAGTAGAGGTTGATTTGATTTCTGATAAAAATAACTTATTGAAGGCGAACAAGGATTTGGGGTTGGCGTTGGATAAAGGTGAAATAGAATATCTTGTTAATGCTTTCACCGAAGTTCTCGGTAGGAATCCTACTGACGTTGAACTCTTTATGTTTGCCCAAGTTAACTCAGAACATTGTAGACATAAAATATTTAATGCAGATTGGACTATCGATGGAGTTAAGAAGGACTTATCTCTTTTTAAGATGATCAGAAATACTCACGAGAAAAATCCCCAATACACTGTTTCAGCTTATTCAGATAATGCAGCAGTATTTGAAGGGGCTGATGGGTTTTTATTCACTCCTGATTTCAGTACCAAACAATGGAAATCCATCCGTGAAAAAGTTCAAACTTTAGTTAAAGTGGAAACTCATAATCATCCCACTGCTGTTTCTCCCTTTGCTGGTGCAGCAACTGGATCCGGTGGTGAGATTAGAGATGAGGCTGCTGTTGGTAGGGGCTCTAAGACTAAAGCTGGATTGTCAGGATTTACTGTTTCAGATTTGAACATACCTTCTTTAAAACAAAAATGGGAGCTCGATATTGGAAAGCCTAATCATATTGCCAGTTCTTTGGATATCATGAAACAAGCTCCAATAGGATCTGCAGCTTTCAACAATGAATTTGGAAGACCTGCAATCAATGGCTACTTCAGGACTTTAACCACTGAAGTAGAAAACCATACCGGAGAGAAAGAATACAGAGGTTATCACAAGCCAATTATGTTGGCTGGTGGACTTGGTGCAATAAGACCAGATCTTGCTTTAAAGGACACTAAAATCAATCCAGGATCAAAGCTTATCGTGTTAGGAGGTCAATGTATGCTAATTGGATTAGGTGGTGGTGCAGCTTCTTCTTTATCGTCTGGTGAAGGATCTGCTGATTTGGACTTTGCATCCGTTCAAAGAGGTAATCCAGAAATGCAAAGAAGAGCACAACAAGTTATAGACACCTGTGTTTCTTTAGGAAAAGCTGGTAATCCAATACAGTCGATACATGACGTTGGCGCTGGAGGATTATCTAATGCATTACCCGAATTAGTACATGACAATGATTTAGGTGCTACTTTCGAATTAAGGTCTATTTTATCTCTTGAACCCGGTATGTCACCAATGGAAATTTGGTGTAACGAATCGCAAGAGCGATACGTCTTAGGCGTGGCTCCAGAAGACTTACTGTTATTTACTGATATTTGCGACAGAGAGAGGGCACCATATGCCGTCGTTGGTGAAGCTACTGAAGAAAAGCGTTTAATACTTAGGGATTCCTTATTGAAATCGACTCCCATTGATTTGAATATGTCGGTATTATTTGGGAAGCCGCCAAAAATGTCAAGGATTGCAGAGACGCAACCATTAAACTTGAAAGCTTTCAAAAAACCCAAACTTGATATTGCCGAGTCAATTGAAAGAGTCTTGCAAATACCTGCCGTAGGTTCAAAGAGTTTTTTGATAACTATAGGTGACAGATTTGTTACGGGATTGGTTGATAGAGATCAGATGGTAGGTCCCTGGCAAACGCCAGTAGCGGATGTTGGCGTCACTGCCACATCTTTAGGTGACAATGTTCTCTCTACCGGAGAAGCTTTGGCAATGGGAGAAAAACCCACTTTAGCGTTAATTTCAGCTTCTGCATCAGCTAAGATGTGCGTGGCTGAATCTTTACTCAATATTTTTGCCGCAGACGTGCCATCAGTTGATAAAATCAAATTGTCTGCTAACTGGATGTCTGCAGCTTCTCATAGTGGCGAGGGATCAAAGCTTTATGAAGCGGTACAGGCAATAGGGTTAGACTTATGCCCAGATTTGGGAATTTCTATTCCTGTGGGAAAAGATTCCATGTCTATGAAGATGAAATGGGATGATAAAGAAATCACAGCTCCTCTATCACTAGTGATCACAGCTTTTGCTCCTGTTGATAATACTTCGAAGACTTGGACTCCACAGATACAGAAAGTTAATGAAGACACAATTCTTGTGTTGATAGATCTAGCTGCAAAGGTTGATAAAAGCTTAGGAGGCTCTTCATTAGCCCAGGCTTATAACGAAGTAGGCGACTCTTCACCGACAGTTCATTCTCACAAGATATTTAAGGCCTTCTTGGAATCTTTAATTGATTTGCACAAAGGTTTTAATGTGCTAGCTTATCATGATCGATCAGATGGCGGTCTTTTGGCCACCGTGCTTGAAATGGCATTTGCTGGAAGGTGTGGATTAGATATCAATATTTCAGGGGAAGATGCTATTACGGAATTGTTCAACGAGGAGCTTGGAGCAGTTTTCCAAATTAAATCGTCTGATCTTGAATCTTTCTCGAGAATATTCGAAGAAAATGGTGTTTCAAATGATTTTATTAGCGTAATTGGTAAGCCTAACTTCTCTGAACAGTCAATATCAATCAGCTTTGCAGGAACAAAACTTTACGAAAACTCCCGGAGTAAATTACAGCAATTGTGGTCCAACACTTCGCACCATATACAGAGATTAAGAGATAATCCTGAAACATCGGAACAAGAATTTTTGGCTTTGAAAGATGACAGTGATCCAGGCATCTCCTATAAGTTATCATATAATGTTTCTGATGACCTTGGTATAAGTAAATATAAAGGTAAACCAAAAGTTGCAATTTTAAGAGAGCAAGGTGTTAATTCACAGCAGGAGATGGCATGGTGCTTTCAGCAGGCAGGATTTGATGTGTACGATGTCCACATGTCAGATATTCTCAGTGGGAGGATTAGCTTGGATGATTTTGTCGGATTAGCAGCATGCGGTGGATTTTCATACGGTGACGTTTTGGGCGCAGGTGCTGGTTGGGCCAAGTCAGTCTTATTTCACGAGAAAGCACGTAAGGAATTTAAGAAATTCTTTCAAGACAGACAAGATACTTTTGCATTTGGTGCTTGTAATGGTTGCCAGTTCTTCAGTAGAATAGCTGAATTAATTCCTGGTACCGAACATTGGCCAACGTTTGAAAGGAATTTGTCGGAACAATATGAGGCTAGGTTTGTTATGGTAGAAGTGACTCAAGAGGCCAATGATTCAGTATTTTTGAGTGGCATGAAGGGATCAAAACTTCCAATTGCTGTTGCTCATGGAGAAGGAAGAGCATCTTTCAAATCCAAAGAACAGGAGCATGAATTTCTTAAGAGTGATTTGACGGCCATCAGGTATGTTGATAATTACTACAAGCGTACTGAAACATATCCTTTTAATCCTAATGGTTCTCCTCATGGAATTGCTGGTATATCTGGTAACAATGGTAGAGTTTTAGCTATGATGCCTCATCCAGAAAGAGTGTGTAGAAAGGAAGCTAACTCTTGGTATCCTACTGAACAAGGAGAAAACTGGGGTGACTATGGACCTTGGATCAGGTTGTTCAGATCTGCGAGAAAGTGGGTCGAGATTAGATCCTGAATCTTTTAAACATCAAAACTTATTTAAAAATAATAGACCTAATGCACTGAATTTATTATTTCTGATTGAATGCTTGTAAGTGTGCGCAACTTTTTAGATTACTTAAGTCATTACATAATATAAATTTGATTTTCAATAAGCGTGCGACACCCAAACTAAAGTCAATTTTTTTTTTGAAAAATTTTTCATTCTCACTAGGAAGACTGAAATTTTCAATATTAATCCATTAACAATTTATATTCATATTTAACTTACAAAAATATTTAAAAATGGTTAACGCAATCTTGTCAAAGAAGAGAAAGTTGGTAGCTGATGGTGTCTTCTACGCCGAATTAAATGAGTTTTTCACTAGAGAATTAGCTGAACAAGGTTATGCTGGTGTTGAAGTTAGAAAGACACCTTCCAAATTGGAAGTTATTGTCAAGGCATCTAACACTCAAGGTGTCTTAGGTGAGCAAGGTAGAAGAATTCACGAATTGACCTCCTTGATCGTCAAAAGATTCAAATTGTCTCCAGAAGGTATCGTACTTTATGCTGAGAGAGTTGAAGAAAGAGGTTTATCTGCTGCCGTCCAAGCTGAAGCTTTGAAATCTAAGTTGTTGAATGGTTTACCATTAAGAAGAGCAGCTTACGGTGTTTTAAGATTTGCTATGGGTGCTGGAGCCAAGGGTGTCGAAGTTGTCATCTCAGGTAAATTGAGAGCTGCTAGAGCTAAGTCTCAAAAATACTCTGATGGTTTCATGATTCACTCTGGTCAACCAACCAAAGATTTCATTGATATTGCTATTAGACACGTCTTGATGAGACAAGGAGTTTTGGGTATTAAAGTCAAGATTATGAAGGATCCTGCTGCAAACAGATTCGGTCCTAAAGCATTGCCAGATGCTGTTAAGATTTCTGAAGCTAAGGATGAGGATGAAATTATCCCAGCTCCAACAGTCAAGGTTTATAAGGCTGCTGCCCAAGTATAATTTGTATATCTGAATGATGTATTAATAAAAGAATATCAATAAATTATTGTAGCCAACTAGTTCACTTCAAGCAATTTGGCATTAGATGATGTCGGGTCAAGTTTTAAGCCAAGGGTAGTAGTCTCCATTGGAGCCCGTTAATGATACATACTACAGGGTAGCGACACATAAAAAGTATCGTTAAAAGAAGGAGCTATTTACAGTACACACCCTTCAACCACTCATACATCTCGTAAATGCATTAATTGAATAGTCCCAAATTGTCATCATTTAATAGAGAGGGTAGAATTCATTATACTTCTTACCGTAATAGAAGGTAGATAATCCACCTAATACGACCAAACCAACAGGAAGGGGTTTTTTGAACTGCGTAGGTATAGCACGTCCCAATCCTGCTACAAGTAAAAAGGTGGATGTACCCAATGCCAACTCTAATCCGTAGTCCGCATTCTTTTTTAACAAGTAACCAGCACCTCCATACAAGATTGCAAATGATGTTCCCGCAATCAACGAAGGAATAGAACCTTTACGGGCATAACCCATAATTCCTCCCACAGCACATAAGCCAGATAATGTAAATGCCGGATGTTCCATTATTGAATTTCAACCTATTCGAATTAACAGATAAGACAACCGTTTGATTATTTCCTAAGACTTCTATCTTAAAGAGTAGCCTTATTCGTAGTAGTAGTGTCAATGGTAACAGTCGTAGATCCTCTGAGGCAGAATTAGCCATTGGGTCAGTCAGTCCGTACCCGATTTCAATATCCGACATACACTTCCGTAATAGAATTATTGTGGCTGCAATAGTCACGAGAACTCCACCGGAAAGCAACAATGACTTCCCTTTTAGGAACACTCATAGAAATCGTCGAAATCAGTTCACCTGTTTTTTAACGCGGTCGCTGAGACAGACCCGCTAATTAAGCACACCCGTATGTAGATCCCCTTGGCATATAAACCAGGCGAAACAAATGAATCAAAGTCAGTTATAATTAAAGTTTACATTACTAGTTTTCGTATATACGTAGACGTAGCTACATAGGATGTATCGAGTTTCCCATAGTAGATATCACATAATAAAAAAAAATTTATGTAGTTTCACTAAGACCTTAAAATGTCCACCAAATGAGATTTGTACTTGAACCGTCCATTGGCCACTACACCCCTAAGCACGGTTGAGCGTCCACCAAAAAAAAATAATAGCACTCAATAAGTAACGCCACCACATAAGCCAAGGACTTACAAATTGACGATACAAGATAGTCATAGGTCAAATAGAAGAGGATGAACATTTCATCGATGCTATCGAATGATAGTATAACTCCGTCGTCTGAAGATAGATTGGGGAACAAAAATAGCGAAGTGGCAAGGGACAGCAGAAACATTAATACAACACAAGGCATGTTGAATCATCGTGTTGTCGATGATGAGCATAATGAGACCGTCAGATCAGATAGCACCAAAGACATCATCCGAAGCATTTTACCCAAGAGTTTGCTGGTGTCAAATATATCGTCGGATGATGAAGATAATAGCATTGGATACCACACCAAGTATCTTTCAGCGTTTGAGAACAGAATAAATAGGATCAATAGGCTAGATAGAGATTTGGTTACGGCTGGAAATGTCAAGATCTTGAGATTTGAAGAAGATCAACTTCGTAACTGGATTTCTAAAACTGATGAGTTGGCGGACAACTACCTCGATAGGGTAGTCGCTGAAGATATGTCTACCAATAATGGTATCTTGGATGGAGAATCATCGAACGACCGTGACTTTAGATGGGGCTTTACAAGAGACAAGAAAGAGGACGAAGAGAATAATGGCTCCACAAAATATTCGAAAAAGAAAGGTATCAAATCAAAAACAAAGAATGAAGAAGACAATCTAAGTGCTTTGAAGAAAAATAAGGGAAGAGGAAAGAGAGGAAGTGAATATACAGATGAGCCTCTTTTAAAGAAACCGAAGAGAAAGGCGTCGGCTGATGCCGCAGCTGCTATCAATGCAAGTAAGGAAGTCACAGTTAATGGCAAAGCGAAGCCCAAACCAGGTCAGAAGAATGAAACAACTGATGCATCGAAAGAACAGAAGGTCATTGCAAAGCAGTATGAAAACACATTTATTTCTATTTGGAAAGACTTGTCTAGAAAAGATGGCCCTAAGGTGAGTAGGTTATTGCAGCAGTCGGGCCAAGCCAAATTGATCAACTTGAAGAAAACTGCTATTTTGGCTGCAAGAGAAGCAAAACGATGGCAATTGAAAAACAACAAGAATCATAAAGATTTGACTACTAAGGCCAGAAGAGCCATGAGAGAAATGTTTAACTTCTGGAAACGTAATGAGAGAATTGAAAGAGAAATGAGAAGAAAGCATGAAAAGGATCTACTCGATAAAGCTAAGAAAGAAGAGGAAGAGAGAGAAGCAAAAAGACAATCTAGGAAGTTGAATTTCTTAATCACGCAGACAGAATTATATTCTCATTTCATCGGTAAGAAGATAAAGACAGATGAATTTGAGGGTAATGATGCAGATCCTAATGTAAATTTCAAGTCTCAAAACAATAATGTGAGTGCCATCTCAAGTTTAAGTGGGGGCAAAAAGACGGACTTCAGCAATATTGATTTCGATAACGAGGACGAAGAATCATTAAACAAGGCAGCAGCAGCAAACGCTCAAATGGCATTAGAAGCTGCTCAGTCCAAAGCAAAATCATTTGATCAAGGCCCATCAACTAATCAGGATTCTAATGGTGATGAAATGAATTTCCAGAATCCTACTCTTATGGGCGATATCACTATAAAGCAGCCGAGCATCTTGAAATGCTCTTTGAAGGAGTACCAAATAAAAGGATTAAACTGGCTTGCAAATCTCTATGAACAAGGCATCAACGGTATTTTGGCCGATGAAATGGGTTTGGGAAAAACAGTACAAAGTATCTCTGTCTTGGCTTACCTAGCAGAAACACATAATATTTGGGGTCCGTTTTTGGTTGTCACACCAGCTTCAACATTGCACAATTGGCAGCAAGAAATTAGCAAGTTTGTACCAGACTTTAAGGTATTACCTTATTGGGGTAATGCGAAAGATCGTAAGATATTGAGAAAATTTTGGGATCGTAAAAGTGTTAGGTATGGAAAGGATGCGCCTTTCCATGTTCTAGTCACTTCTTACCAATTAGTTGTTGCTGACGCCGCTTATTTTCAAAAAATGAGATGGCAGTATATGATACTAGACGAGGCACAGGCAATAAAATCGTCTCAGTCGTCGAGGTGGAAATCATTACTATCATTTTCATGTCGTAACAGATTATTATTAACGGGAACGCCTATTCAGAACTCTATGCAAGAGTTGTGGGCTTTGCTTCATTTTATCATGCCTTCGTTATTTGATTCTCATGATGAATTTAGTGATTGGTTTTCGAAGGATATTGAAAGTCATGCACAGTCGAATACGCAACTTAACGAGCAGCAACTTAAAAGACTTCATGTGATATTAAAGCCATTCATGTTAAGGCGTATCAAAAAGAATGTTCAAAGTGAGTTGGGTGACAAAGTCGAAATTGACTTATTCTGCAATTTGACAAACAGGCAAAAGAAATACTACCAAATGTTGAAGTCACAAATATCCATTATGGATTTATTAGATTCTTCGAGTAGCGGTGGAAGTGGTGATGATCAGTCATTAATGAATCTTGTTATGCAATTCAGAAAAGTTTGCAATCATCCTGAGTTATTTGAACGTGCTGACGTTAAATCTAGCTTTTCATTTAGTAAATTTGCTGAGACTTCCTCTTTATTAAGAGAATCTAATGATTTAACTGCATACTATTCCACTCAGAATTTGATCGAATACCGACTTCCACGATTAGTTTATGAAGATCTTCTTCTCCCTAATTTCAACAATGATGTTGGGTTCAGGAATAAAATTAGCAACATGTTCAACATTTATGATCCTTCCAACGTTAATGAAAATGAGGGTTTTGGCTGGCTAAGGTTTGTTGATAAATCCCCTCAGGAGCTCTATGAATTAACCAAGCTCAATCTATTGGAAAGATCAATTGCAGATGAAGAGTACACCGATATAAATTATCAACGGATTAATAGATTCAAATATTTGTATGAAGGGTCATTTATACCGCAGAATAAGAGACTCTTGATCCTGGAGTTTGAGAATGATAATGCTTATGGTACGAATTCAATATATATGAAGGAACTCAAATCTGTTAAGAATAAAGTCTATGAAGATATGAATATTCCCGTGATGAAACCAGCAGCAGAGCCTGTTGCTTCTGCGCCTCCTATCGAGTTACGTTGTGACACAATTTCCGTTGTCCATAAATTAAGCGATGAGTTATTTAATAAAACTATCAGAGAAAGTCTAATGCCACTTGACCTCAATTGGGAATTGGAGTTGCTTGAAAAGAAAATACCAATAGAACACTATCCAAAGTCCAACATGCTCCCTGAAGCACTTAATAAATTCATTGACTATTCAAATATTCGAATGCCATCTATGAACAGATTTATCACAGAATCAGGAAAATTAGCCATGCTAGATAAATTACTCAGTGATTTAAAGCAACATGATCACAGGGTTTTAATTTATTTTCAAATGACAAAAATGATGGATTTGATGGAAGAGTACTTAACTTATAGGCAACATAAGTACATCAGGCTCGATGGTTCATCTAAATTAGATGATCGTAGAGATTTGGTACATGACTGGCAAACAAAACCTGAAATCTTCGTTTTCCTCTTGTCTACTCGTGCAGGTGGCTTGGGAATCAATTTAACTGCCGCAGACACTGTGATTTTTTACGACTCTGATTGGAATCCTACAATTGACTCACAAGCTATGGACAGAGCGCATAGATTGGGCCAAACTCGTCAAGTGACAGTATATAGGTTGTTAACTAAGGGAACAATTGAAGAGCGTATGAGAGATAGAGCCAAACAAAAGGAACAAGTGCAGCAAGTTGTGATGGAGGGTAAGGCCACTACGGTTGCCAAGAAGGACGATAACAAGAAGAAGGATGTTGCATTTTTATTATTAGGGGATGGTGACGATACACCAGCATCGCCGACCCCAGAAATTGAGAATTAACAAAATCCTTGAAGATAACATTCAGAGCTGAGGAATGACAAATTTTCTAGTGATTCGCTGTTTTGTTTATTTAAAGAGTATTTATAGATTATATGACTCCTTTTAATAACCGAGTATAATACATTAATTGAATTTTTATTGACCTCGTGTAACTTTATTCAATAAAGCTTTTTCTAATTCGTTTGAGAAGGATCGTTTTGAAATATTGTGATGAAGTACACCATTATTTTCTGAGCCACCTGTAGCATCCGTTCGAAAAGTATCCTGATCCAATTTTGAGCCACTTCCCGTATACAACCTATTAAGATTCTCTTCTAACTTCGCTTTAAGCTGCAGCTTTGAAAGCCCGTCATTAACATACTCATCATCCACAGAGCTCACTTGAGTTAAATTAACCATATCAGAAGCCCCACTGATGTTAGAAGCGTTGGAATTGATTGAGAATCTGCTGTTCGTAAAAATGCTGCTCCTATTGGTATCTGATTTATTACTTTGAAGCTGATCTAATGCATCTTGATTATAAGTCTCATATGAAGATGGTGGTAAAATGTTTATGTAATTATCGTCGTATGATATATGCATTTTATTTTGCGCTGCAGGCTCTTCCAAAACAGTCAATAAACCGAGCTGCAATCCACCTGAAGTCCTCTTCGGTTTTCGAGCTTGATTGACATCAGAAGAAGAGTTAGAGGGGATTCCTGGGGGGCTCTTAAGCTGTGGAGGTAAGGAATATCTTTTTTTTATGATTGTATTATGAAATGACCGTAGCTGCATATCAGTTGTATCAGAAAAAGAGGGTTCCATAGGAGAACCGGGATACAGATTATTATAATGGCCAACCCTCAGGTTTAAATCGCTCAGGTATAGCTGATGCAATTCCTTCAATTTGTTAATCTCGTCACTAAATTGATTAAATATTAATATTTTTTCATGCAACTCTTCCTCATTATCCTCCGTCGCCTTATGGTACTTTTCAAAATACTTTAAATTTGTAGTCAAACTTGAAAGCTTGTTAATCAAGGTTTCCAAATTGATTTCGTTTTTATTTGTGCCCAAATCTGAACGTTTATAATGGGTCAAGATGTCTTTTTTGTTCATTATTTCTAAGTCAGATCTAGGCGTATCATCGTTATATTCGAGATTTTGAATCATTAAGTTGAAATTTGATAGGACTTTAACGTTAGCTCTAAAAAAATCTTCCATTGCCAAAAGTTTATTATGCATTGTTAATGATGTCTTACTATTAGAAGGTAAATTTAACTGATCTTTTAGCTGACTTAAGAAATAGCTCGATTTTGGTAGATCATTAAAAGTTAATATCTCACATATCACTAATTTTCGTAGCTGATTAAATTTATTTAATTTGAGAATGACTTCATCAATACTTTCCGTCATGTCTTGTGACATGGAGTTTATATCAGATTCATTGGCAATTAAATCTATATCAACGTTGTTTACATCACAAAATTGTTCTAAAACATCCCCATTAACATAAGGTAGTAGCTTTGAGGCCCATAGTTTTAAATCAAATATCAAAAATTCCAATGTATTACTTAGGTGTTTCTGCAAATTTGCTATTTTTGTAGGTTTGTTCTCATCTAAGATCCTGTAGTTTTTTAGATTAATCAAATTTGTGATGAACTTTTTATTAATCTTGTAATTCAAGAGGAGAAATTCGTTCAAGGTATTAAGAATCGACAGATACCTTAATTTAAATGCCAATTTCTCTGTTTTGATTATTCTTGCAGACATTAACAAAAGCACAGCAAATATCTTAAATTTTTGCTTCTCATTATACGTATGATGAAATTTTAACAAATGAATTATTATGTTAATAATACTCGGCACCAAATGTTTCCTAAATTTCTTTAGAGTCATACGGTACTTTTTTTCATATGAGACTAATTCCAAATCGTCATCGTTAACTATGGTACTTAAATAGCTTCTTTCAAACATGGACTGATGCGTTCGTAACATTTGCTCGTTTTTCGAAAGAACCATTGAATCATCGAGTAAATTAGATATGATCAAATTATATTTCAATCTTTCCCAAAAGTAGTCAGAATGACGATTAAGTGATAGGTACTTCGCTATGTATTGTTTTATAATTACATTGACATTCAGGACATTTTCAACACAAGACAACCCATTCTCCTCTTCAATTCCCCAGTCACTGATAGCGAGATTAATGTCGGCGTTAATATTCATATCGAAATCATCAACCGCTGTTCTTATATTCTCTATTTAGCCGCAACCTCGAAACAAAGGTTCTTCTTGGGCTTTTCTTTATTTTTGTCTTTTATTTCAAAGTGCTTGAAGTTTCAATGTTTGGTCCGAATATCTAAATCTGGATAGCTCGAGAGCAGCGTGCCACATAATAAATCATATGATTTTCTTCACATTGTATTTATTTGTTTTTCTGTTTATCCAAAATGGGGGTATTTTATATACAGGTCATAGATAGCATCAACGGTTCTCAAACATGGGGAGCTTCTTAAGGTTAAATAGATGTTGAAGATAAATAAATTATGCAATGACTAATTAAAATCTATAAATTAAAAATGCTGATTTTAGATATGAAGAGGTCACATCTATGGCAATGTGCAACATAGCTAAAAAGTAGTTAAAACCTCACACCCTGTTATATAAATATATATATATTATAATGACGTAGCTGTTGTCTCTAGAAAACTCATCGAGACTGTAATAGAAAGAAGAAAAAGATTACATGGACTGGAAAAAATAATGAAATCAAGCTTTAAATAAGTGATATAATTTACTTGAATCAATGCTTTTACAGATGATGCAGTTTTTGAACTTGTTGTGACTGTCGCCCCAGCCTTGCTTGTGCTTGTGAATGTAGTTGAGATTGCATTTGTTGCTGTTGTTGATTAGTCGGCTGTAGTTGAATATTTTGAAACAGATGCTGCTGTTGCTGTTGCTGTTGCTGTTGTTGCTGTAGTTGTTGCTGTTGTTGTATGACCATCTGCTGTTGTGTCTGTAGCTGCAGGTTGTTTTTTACTAAGGATGCCTTTCTTTGGAGATTAAATTGATGTTCACTCAGGACGTCCATATTATAGTTGGAATCATTTACAAAAAACTCTGAGACACTTGATTGTGGAGTTCCCGATTCGTGTTGCGAATATATACTTTGTTGCGATTGTTGAGGCAGTAGTTGAACACGTTGCGCCCCATGGTATTGTTGTTGTTGTCCTTGAAATGAGTTTTGTTGCTGTTCGAATGCCATTTGTTGTAATCTTAGCTGCTGCTGTTGCTGCTGCAGAAGCTGAGCCTGTTGCTGCTGAATGGATTGTTGCTGTAGCTGCTGGCGTTGTTGAAGTTGCTGTTGCTTTTGTTGAAATTGTTGTGGGAATTGCTGCGGAGGTTGCTGCAATGGAGGCTTTTGTAAGTTAGCAAAATTCCTTGATACATTTGTTGGAGGAGGCATATCTACCCTAGCATTATTCCCACTACCAGGAGTATTGAGAACTTGGTTCAAGTTTGGGTTAATGCTTGAAAGTGCAGCCCATAAAGTGGTCCACCATTCAAGCAAGAAGTTATCGCTATTAAACATCTCATTTTCAAAGTTTTCACTCTCCATCTTTAGAATTAGAGAATCAATATTACCATTGTTTGAAGACTCATTCAAAAATGTATTCGCAGATTCGTGAAGACCATTGGACTTAAGGTACCTATACAATTGATATAATAGCAAGTTATATGAACTGCCACTATATGGACTACCCTGGTCATTGCTAGACATCTTCCATCAATCAGTTACAAAGAGTATATCTGTCCAAGGGTTAAACATAATGTAGCAGTAATTAGGTTTATATGTAGGACATATTGAAAGTATTCTTGGCCCACTTTGGTCTGCACTTTGAGAAAAGATTATGGAGCAAAAATCTTTGTTCTGCTAAAGAATGCAGTTTAAGTATAACTAACTAATGAAGGTTTCAGAGCTTACATCCAAAATTTCTTGTTTTATAAGTTGAACGAGTTCCGTTCAATTTCAATTAAGTCTATATCGTAAAATTTTCAAGCTCTCCGAAAGTAGCCAAATGGCCCACTTGGGACCTTTCCAGAGTGAATTTCTTCACATCTCAGATTTAAGAACCATAAGGGATAATCTAGATTGTCATATATGGGTATCAATTTTTCGCTAGAATTATTGCGATCATAGTATATGCCATGAATCATGAGACTATCAAGTTTAAAAAAAATTGTAGACAAGTACTCAACAATGGGTTGCAACTGGTGAATTATATATGTGGTAACTAAGTTATCAATACTGCAGTTGTCTTTTCCACTAGGATCCGTATCCAAGTCACATTTACAAAATGATGACGAGTGAAAGTGAGTGTGAAGCGTGTGTGGCTGACCTTTATAAATTGGATAACTTGAATAGTTGAAAGTCTTTTCTTTAATTGGTATGCATACCTCCCTATCAGCCTGTAGTTTCCCCAAGATAAATCCTATCAATATGTAATATGAAGACTCCTCGTCTACCTCTTGATCACCGTTAAGTTCGCTGATATCATTGTCCCTGATTGGAAAAAACTGTTCCTTAAGTTTCCTCAACACTAATTCGCAACCCCAACACTGACATGAATGTAGTAAACTCTCAAAAAAGTCCGGCTTATAGTAAATAAAAGAAGTCAAAAAGTCCGGAAGCTGCAAGCTTCTCAAGTTCGATACAATATTTGACTCATTCGCAGCGAAGAAACATAAAAAGAATGCCTCAATCAACCTTTCATTAAGCTTGTTGAATACCATACTAGACATTCCCGTGTTGTTGTCAAACATCTTGAAAGAGGGAGTTGAGAAATCAATCGTTAGTCTTGTCAATCCTGATAAAGTTTTGATAAAACTACCCAAGGGAGTGAGCACATTTTCTAGTATTTGGTGTGGTAACAACCATTCTATATTGGGAAACGACTCAAGCTCAAAATTTGTCAATTTAGGTAAACCTTTATTTTCCTTAGAATAGGTGGCTAAATCTTTAAAAAAATTACCAAAACAATTGCAGTTGCTATTTCTGTGTTCAGCACAATCAATTTTTAGGTATAGATGCGTCAAATATCTTAAGTCAATCTTCTCACCTATTGCGTTAAAATCTAAACGTTTATCGAGACTTTTAAGAAAACCCTGCAACTTGGAAAATGAATTTCTTTCATTACTATAAATGAAGCTATAATCATCACTCGTGAAATTTTCTTTGTGGCAATGAAATATAGTCAAGCCCTTTAGTTTTAGCTTCAAGTCACCATTAAAAAGTTTTAAACCTTTCAAGATCTCTAATCCTAGCTGGTTATTTGTACTGCAAGTTAAGGTGAATAATGAATTGAATACATCAAACGGAGGGCAAGATAAATCAAATGTCTTACAGCTCATCAATTCCGATTCATCCAACATTAAGAATAAGTTTGTGAGACTTTGGGGTATTACAGGAAGATAAAGGTCCTTGTACTTGGTAATGAATAATTTGAAAATCTTATTTCTAATATTTTTATTCTTCAAAAAATTTGTTAACTTGAGGATTCCTGAACCAAAGTCAACAAATGTGATGTGTAAAAAGTTCATTTCACTTGAGTTTGAACCGAAAAAGTCAATGATCTCAGATTGCATTTCACCAACGATACAGTCTTTCTCCAGATAGCATTTATCAAATATGAAAAAACGCACTTTTTGTAAGAGAGTTGGATTCGCTCGTAAGGTTGAAATAAACTTTACAAGATTATCAATGCTTAATATTAATGCAGTATCCATGGATCTCATCCCATTTTCGCTTATGAAGTGGCTGCGATCATCGTGATATCTTATTGGAAATTCAGCATTCAATATGGCAGTGACTCGATTATAAAGTCGTTCGGTTGCTGCTGGGTATAAACTTGAACAAGTCACCAGTAGATTCACAAGTGAAAATTGATCAACATATTGTAATATTTCTTGTAGAATAATGTTTGGTAGTATTTTAACAAGCGAATTCTTATGCTGGAAAACTATTTTACTACCTTTCATTATAGTTCTTTGATTCATGGAGTTATCAGACATCGGATCGAAGGCTGGCATTTCAGACGATGCCACGCCCATATCTGAGGGTTCGCAGCCATCCAGCATTAGCAATTACATATACCCGGATAGATGAATCAGACAATTGCTGTGAAATTCTATAAAAGATACCGCTAAAGGAATCTATAGGTAGTCGTACCTTGGATAGTCAAATTGGGTGCGAAACGACCGCTTATTTTACGAATGTTCCCCTTTTATCATGGACAAATATGTCGGACTTATTTTGGGACATGAGAAAAATTCAACGATAGAGATCAAAAGAGCTTGCAGAGTGTGACAATTTATTAGGTTCAAATATGAAATTGAACGCTTTACAATTTATGATTATACGATACTAAGTTAAATTTGACTATTTAGTCTCATGAGTTTATTCCAATATCTCTACTACAAAACAGACCCTAAATTAACATGAATAGCCTTTGCTTGTGTGTACGTTGATAAACCATATTCACCTAATTCTCTTCCAACACCACTTAATTTAACACCTCCGAAAGGAATGTGGACGTCAGAATCATTGGAAGAGTTGATCCAAACCATTCCAGCTTCAATATCCGAAGCCATTTGGTGCGCCTTGGTTATATCCTTGGTGAAAATTGCAGCACCTAAACCATACTGGGTAGCATTAGCGTATTTAAGGACTTCATCGTCGGTCGAAAATTTGCCAACACTGACGACAGGACCGAAAATCTCCTCATTGACAATTCTCATCTCAGGCTGAACATCAGCGAATATAGTTGGTTTGATGAAAAAACCTTTGGACAAATCAGACGAGTCATTTCTCTCTCCACCTAAAACAACCCTAGCACCTTCTTTTTTACCGATATCAATATAATTCAAAATAGTTTCAAACTGACGTTGAGAGACTTGAGGTCCGACGACAGCATCAGAGTCAAACATAGAACCCTGTTTGTATTCTTTCTTAACATGGTCTGCAAATATTTTCAAAAATTCGTCATAGATTTTTTCATGGACATAAACTCTAGATGTAGAAGTACAAACTTGACCCTGGTTGTACATGATACCAACAGCTGCCCATTTAGATGCCTGATCTAAGTCAGCGTCCTCCCTGATAATTAATGGTGACTTACCACCACACTCCAAAGTGACGGCTTTCATATTAGAAGCAGCAGCCTTTTGGACCATCTTACCAGTAGCAGTAGAACCAGTAAACGCAATCTTGTCCACTCCCAAGTGAGACGCCAAAGCATTTCCACAGTCTCTACCATAACCTGATAAAACATTGACAACACCAGCAGGGAATCCAGCTTCTTTGAAGTATTTGACGACAACTAAGAGTGATAATGGAGTGATCTCAGAAGTTTTTAAAACAACAACATTACCTGCAGCCAAAGCTGGAAACAACTTCCATGCAGCCATAGCAATTGGATAATTCCAAGGAATAATTTGGCCACAAACACCATATGGTTCATGAACGGTGTAAGCGAGCTTCTTTGGATCATTTTGGATTACCTTACCTTGTATTTTATCAGCCCATCCTGCGTAATACTTGCAGCAAGAGATCGCCTCATCAATATCATAAACTGCATTACTATCTCTGGCTTTACCAGAATCCCAAGCTTCAATGGAACCTAATAATTCACGATCTCTTTCTAAGAACGATGCAACTTTAAAAAGAAGATCACCTCTTTCGACACCAGTAACTTTTTTCCAAGCAGGGAAAGCAGCCCTTGCTGCTTTCACCGCAATATCTACATCTTCCTCAGTCGCCGCGTATACACTTCCATTGACTTCTCCAGTTGCTGGATTTATAGATTCCAATGTCTTGCCTTGCTTGGATTTAACGAATTCATTATTAATGAATAACCCCGATGGCTGGTTGAACTTTTTGCCATCTGGCAAGGTGACTTCATATTCTAATGGTAAACTCATTGTTATATTATTAATCAAGGTTAATTTACTTTTCAATTGTAGGCAAAAGGAGCTTTTTTTTTTTTGAAGTTCCTGGGGACCGTTGAATATTAATGTGCCTAGCTATCAGTATCAATCCATATCCGATTGGGTAATGCCTGCCTAATAGGGAAACACAATGCGACAATTATTCACTAGCGGTTCAACGTCCCCATTCACATGGCGGATGCCATTGGTGGCCATCTAATGGAATAGCTGGTTTTCTCGCGTCTATTTCTATTTCTATTATCCTCAGCCGTTGGATAGCGTTTGCACTATATTTCTAAATCATGGAGTGAGTCACGAATGGAGCCACTAAATTTTCGTGCGACTATTTAATTTGGCATCAAAATAGAAATGATTAAAATTATGGATACAAGAGCATAGATAGCAGTAAGGGATATAACAGTAAAAAAACATAAAATAAATAGGAAGAAATGGATTTATCTAATTTTTCCAAGTTAAGTCCAGCTCACAATGAGTTTAGATATGACACATGTACCACTCCAACAGAGTCAATGGTCAAATCAATGTTGACCGCATCTTTAGGAGATGCGGTGTACAGCGATGAATCAACTGAAGAATTGGAGGATAAAGTTGCAAAGTTGGCTGGAAAAGAAGCAGGCTTATTCTGTGTCAGTGGTACTATGGCAAATCAAATAGCAATTCGAGTTAACCTTAAGCAGCCACCGTATAGCATCCTTAGCGATAGTAGGGCCCATATTTATACCAGTGAAGCCGGAGGATTGGCTACCTTGTCACAAGTAATGCCACAGCCAGTATACCCAAAGAATGAAAAGTATTTGACCTTGGAAGACGATATTATTCCTAATTTTATTCCTGATGATGGAGAAATTCATGGAGCACCAACCAAAGTGATATCATTGGAAAATACGCTACATGGAATGATTTTTCCGATTTCTGAAATTAAAAAGATATCAGAATTTTGCCGCAAAAACGATGTGAAATTGCATATGGATGGTGCCCGATTATGGAACGCCTCGGTGGAGTCTGGTGTCTCTATTAAAGAGTATTGTTCATACTTTGATTCGGTTTATCTTTGTTTATCTAAGACACTTGGGGCTCCAATTGGTTCAGTCTTGGTATCGGATAAAAAATTTATCAATAAAGCAAATCACTTTAGGAAACAGTGTGGTGGTGGTATTAGACAATCTGGAATCATAGCTCGTATGGGTATTACAAGTATAGATGAGAACTTCTCAAAATTAAAGGCAACTCATGATAGAGCAAAAGAAGTAGGTAAATTATGTGAAGAACATGGAATTGCATTAGAGCATCCAGTGGAAACCAATTTCGTATTCATCGATCTCAAAAAGAACAACATGAGTGCAGTTAAGCTCAACGAAATTGCTCAGAAATATGGGATTAAACTCGATAATCATCGTGTTGTGTTTCACTATCAGATTTCTGAAGACTGTTTTCAAAAGTGTAAAAAGGTCATCTTGGAGTGCTATGAAGCAGCTAAGCAAGGAGAATCTGTTCCAGATGAAAAAGTAAGTTATTATAATATTAAGTCAAAGTAGATATTCTAATATTTAAATTATATATTTATGCTATTTATGCTATTTAAAAGTACATTCTAAATAAAACGCGAAAGCCATATCTCTAGAAGAAGAAAAAGGACAACCGAATGGAAGGGTAAGATTTCCAACTCTGTTCATGGTTACGTTATTTGAACATATATCAAAGTTCATAGTTTGCAATGGAGAAGTAAAATTAATCTTAGTTACAACTTCCTTAACGAAAGACATTCTTAATTTTTTGTCTGATGATTACAATTTTGAGGTTGCTTTGAGAAAGCTAAACCTCAAAGATCAGTTGAAAGTTAGGAATATCAAAGATGAGCGTAATAAATTCAGAGCTCTTGTTTCAAGGCTTTTTCAAAAATTAGTATTGAATTATTTGATATTTTCCCATCAGGTTATCAATAAAATTGGCAGTCAGCGATCTGCTTGGGAGGAGTTGAACTTTCGTTACAATGATTACGGAAAACCCCATTTCCCAGAGCAAGATGCGTTAAAAATACAGTTTAGCTTCAGCTCATCGAATGATGTCCTTTGCCTTCTTATAGAGCTAAACACTTTGGATCCGATAGGTATTGATTTATCGCATTCTGAGCAAGCAGCTATATCGTCTCTGAATTTCATCAGCCAATTTCGGCCTATATTTGGCTCTGCTGAGCTTCAGCAACTACAAGACATCCAGGATGAAAAATATAAATACTTGCTTTTCAATCAGATATGGACTCTCAAGGAGGCATTTGTCAAATATATTGGTAGTGGTTTAAATATTGACTTGTCTAAGTTTGAGTTCAACTTGAGGGATAGGCTAGCTGATAAAAGCGCAAAACCTATCACAAATAGCGATTCTTTTATAAAACGGTATGATGTTGAGTGGAAGAATGACATTGAAATTAGCGTTAATGGGTTAATCGAAAGTAATTGTCGCTTTTTAAAAACTCTTGACCTGATGGAAATCTTTTGCATGTCAAGTATTTTGAGAAATTCTAATGGGAATAATCTACCAGTAATAGCGTCAATAATAACTCGGAGGAAGTTTCAGCAGCCCACAGACTGCCTTGAAATAGATTTTCTCAGAGTTCTAGAGCATTTAGTAGATGACGATTAACTTATGATCAGAAGTCATTCAGATGGACAAGTATAGTTTCATAATAAGTGAAATACAACAAAGAAATGTATTAACAATCAAGAGACATAAATAGAATTTGATTTAGAAACGAATCTATACAAAATCAAGTTAAATTAACATTGAGCCTGCAATAAATCCAACGATAGCTACACCGTAACCAAATGGTGATGCATTGTTTGCAGCAGAGTCTGAACTTGAAGAGCTTGAGCCTGAAGATTCCGAAGAGCCGGAGTCATCACTTGAAGAAGAACCTGAGTCATCACTGGAAGATGAAGAATCTGAGTCATCACTGGAAGATGAAGAACCCGAATCGTCGGTTGAGCTAGCGTCATCGCTTGAGCTCGAGTCTCCTGAACTTGAATCATCACTAGACGAACTTGCATCATCACTTGAAGAACTAGCATCATCACTTGAAGAACTAGCATCATCACTTGAAGAACTAGCATCATCACTTGAAGAACTAGTGTCGTCGCTTGAAGAGCTAGCATCGTCGCTTGAAGAACTAGCATCATCGCTAGAAGAACTTGGGTCATCACTAGAAGAGCTGGAATCGTCGCTTGAAGAGCTAGAGTCATCTGCAGTGGCTGAAGAGTCATCTGAGCTATCTGCTCTTTTGACAATGACTTCAGCTTGTGCCTTATTTGGTGCTAAAGCTCTAGCATTGATTGAAGCTATGGTAGCAAGCAATAAAATCAAGGTATTGGCTCTCATTATGGTTTGTATTAGAGACTAATTTAAGGAATTGTTTGATGTAATGCTAACTAACAATTATATATGATATTTCAAAAAGCAGAAGTCTTAATTTATATTGAAGCATATATGTTACTTGCATTGTTGCTTCTACGTTTTTATGTGGCTGTTAACACCTCAGGTATTAAAAAGAACTATAATAGTTGTTGCTGTGCCTGGCAAAACGTGTAGTATAGTACTGTGTACCTACTTTAGCTATTCCTCGTGGCCATCTGAGGTTGCGTAACGAAGTCACAAATTCGCTTATTTGGGAAAATTTGCACTCTATACATGGACGAGCTACATATTTGCTATCAGGGCTTTATATTCTTTCGAACGCTATTTTAGATGTATCAGATATTTTTGATCCAGCGAATTTTGCTCAGAATTTGCAAGCTCAACGAGCGTTATGGTTAACTGAACCCCCTTTGAAAGAGTATTCAACTTCGGAGCACAAAGTGCGTTTTAGGCACATTTTAACTAAAAACCACATTTTTAAGTTGTACGCACGAATTATAGGCGAAATCGAGGTTCTGTAATTCCTGGGCATTAGGTAATGAGCTCAAAACTACAACTGTTTAATTTTTTTCGTAACCATTTGTTTTACCTTTCCCCCCACGGTCAATGTTATAGAATAAAAATATTATAATTTATGGCTGTGTGCTTTAGTCATTGATAGCAATATATGGATTGTCTTTACAGATACCACGTTGCTTCAGATAGTTATAGTCTCAAAGATGTTTGTAGCACTCAAGTATTTTTGAATAACTTGAGCAAAACAAGGTAATAAGAAATACAATAGAACCCCTGACTCTTCAAATAAATGTTCTCCTTTTGGAGTATCTTTCCTTTGACTTCTTCCCACTTTAACAAATTAAGTTAATGGAGGTCTAATAGCGTCAAGTTGCAAATGTCCTCTTTGATGTGGTGTTATGTACAGGACACATACTGACATTGAGAAAGTAGTAATCCGTCGTCACAGCTATGAGACTTCATAGGCACACAGACTCCGATATGGCGGGTGAAACGCTAGGTCCCTTACTTACAAATAAGCATGAAAAATATTTCAAATTTTGCTTACAGTCATTCCCGTCAAAGGTTCAATCAGAAGATGCTAATAAATTGGCATTGATTTATTTCTGCTTACATGGTTTGAGTTTATTGAATAAGCTCAACTTGTCTAGTAATGAGCAGAAGGACTACTCTGAATTTATATACAGCCATAAAATTGAAGATCCAAAACACGAAATTGAGTCTTTCAGATCATCGGGTACATTCAAGTTGCCATCTGTTACCGGTTCATACGATCTTCCTAATTTATCAGCCACATTTTTTGCATTGCTTAACTTATTAGCACTTGGTTCAGACTATTCAAAAACATTAGATAGAGAGAAAATAATGAAGTTTATTCTTACTTTACAGGTCAAGAAAGGAGAAGAAAAAGGTGCATTCAGAGCAGTTTTAGGACCAGATGGAGAACCGATTGGCGAAACGGATGTACGTTTTTGCTACATGGCTCTTGCAATTCGGAAATTGCTCAAGTATGATGAAATTCCTTCAAATGAACGAAAACATGATGTTAACACCAAAAGCTTGCAGGATTATATCTTGGATAGGTTAAATTTCGATGGCGGCTTTTCATCAAATCGCTGGACAGAATCTCAATCTGGCTTGACGTTTTGTTCACTTGCTTCACTCCGTTTAATAGATTACAATTTTGAGAATCAAAAATGGCCCAATCTTACAATTGATTGGCTAGTTCACCGCCAAGTCGATTATCCTAAAGATTTATATAATACAGAGTACGAGTATTACGACGATTTTGATATTGGAGGATTTAATGGTCGACCCAATAAGTTCTCCGACACTTGTTATGCATGGTGGGTTACAGGCAGTTTGAATATACTAGACCCTAAGAAGTTGAATTTATTGAACTTACCCAAGGCTGGTGCTTACCTTTTAAATCATACACAGAATAAGCTTGTGGGAGGTTTTGGTAAAAACGGAGAGTCATCGCCTGATCCTTTTCACACGTTTCTTGCTCTAGCTAGTCTATCATTGTGGAAGAATGTGTTGTCCTTTGAATTCCCGAATTCTGATCAAATTACTTCCGTAGACGGTGTTTTTGTCATTACAAAAGAATCAAAGGTGTTTTGGGAAGAAGTTGTCTGCTTTGCGTAATCTAGCTCTTTATTCTAAACTTTCCATAATGGCCCGCAAAAATCAGGAAAATACCTAGATATATACTGTATATAGAAAATCGACTCTCATATCCAAGTGTTAGGCAAAAGACTTAGCTCATTGAACTCTCCCTTTTCTTCCTTACTAACACATATTGGACCAGAATTCTAGAAATTCAATAATTTGGAGGAAGTAAGGACTAAGCAAGAAATCAGTTTCAGGCAATTTTCAAGTCCAATGAGCAACTCTGTCACTCCTGGAAATGAAGTCAAGAGGCCAAAAACATCTACTCACTTAATTGCAGGAGGAATGGCTGGTTTAGTCTCAGCAGTTGCCCTCCAGCCCTTTGACTTATTGAAAACAAGGTTACAACAGCAACAGCTGATTAATAAAAAATATCAGCCTACCATTTCCAAAGAATTAAAGAAATTGACGACGTTGAAAGATTTGTGGAGGGGTGTCCTTCCGTCAATGCTTAGAACTTCGATAGGATCTGGCCTTTACTTTACGATACTATCCAGCTTCAGGTCTCGGCTTGCAGCTTTGAAAACTAGCCAGGTTGCTTCGAAGTCGTCAATTCTTCCCCGACTATCACCAATGGAGAACCTTGCGACAGGATTTGTGGTTAGAGCAATAGTTGGGCTTATAACTATGCCAATTACAATCATGAAGACGAGGTTTGAGTCCAACATTTACAATTACAATTCAATGTATGAGGGAATTGAAAGTATCTATCTTAATGATGAGAAAAGTAGTAGAGGATCCATAAAAAATTTCTTTAGGGGTTCATTTGCAACTTTGGCTAGAGATTGTCCGTATGCTGGCCTTTATGTTTTATTCTATGAAAGTTTCAAAAACAATATTGTTCCTACTATTGTTATACCCCTCCACCAACATCTTATACCGGATTCTTCGTTGATTAATTCAACATCTGCCGTCTTGGCTGCTTCCACTGCCACAACAATTACCGCTCCATTCGATGCAATTAAAACACGTCTACAGCTTAATTCAAGCGATGCTCCGACTTCTGGAATTTGGAAAACAACGATCCAGTTGCTCAGAGAGAATGGAGGTATAAGAAATCTATTTAGAGGATTATCGTTAAGATTGGGTAGAAAGGGTATGAGTGCTGGTATTGTCTGGTGTATTTACGAAGAATTGATTAAAAAAGATACTCAGGAAATCCTTCTTCGTTCTGGAAGTAAAATTGCATAGAGAAATTCTTTCAGTAGAGCTCTTGTAAATATCTTCTTTCCATTTCTGTACATAACTAAATTTATTTGAGCCTCGGGAAAATATCGAGACCGCCCCTCATAGTAACTCATATTATTGAAAGCTATACAAACGAATAAAATATCTTAAAAGACTATAACACTTTGATTCTTCGACAAAATGAATGAAGATCTAATCAAGAGTGCTGTTGGTTTCTTGAAAGACCCCAACGTTGCATCGTCCCCTTTAACGAAGAAAGTTGAATTTTTGGAATCGAAAGGCTTAAATCAGAATGAAGTGGAGGAGGCATTGAGAAGAGCTAATGGAAGTGCTGGCGAGACTAATACGAGTACTGTCTCGAATGCATCATCTAATAATAATTCCCACACTCAAATGGCCGCTCCCCCGATTGATTACTATAATATATCTCCTCCAGACTTACCTGAGAGGTCATGGAAGGACTACTTCATCATGGCCACAGCAACAGCAGGCGTAAGTTATGGTTTATATCAGGTAATTTCAAGATATTTAGTACCTGCTATAATCCCTCCTTCTCAATCATCTATTGAGGAAGACAAGAATAGAATAGATGAAGAATTTATGAAGGTTGATAAGGTCTTGGAACAATTGACAAAGGAACAAGAAGAGGTCAAATCAGCTAACGAGCAAAAGTTGAAAGAAATTGATGTTGTTATTGACAACGTGAATGATTTCTTGAGTAAATATAACAAAGACAAACTTAAGTTCGATGATGATATGAGGCTCATGAAGTTGGAAATTGATAACTTAAAAAATAGCGTAGAGAAAAATCTGAATTTAACGAAGGAAAACTTGAGAGATGACTTACAAGATATTAACGAAGAATTAAACTCTTTAAAGCAGTTAATAAAAACAAGGGCCGAGAAAGGCGGGGATTCTTCTAATGTCAGAAAAATTGCACCAGTTTCGTCAATTCCTTCTGCATCTGAAATATTAAAGAAAGCGAAACCAAAGAATGATTCCATAAAATCATCTCCAGAATTTTCAGCTCCCACAACGTTTGAGAAAGTAACTGCTGCGGGGATACCTGAGTGGCAGATGAAACATAAGAGCCAGGAGGAGCAACAACAAAACCTGGAGCCTGCGAGTGGTGAAAAGACAGAAGAGTCCGAACAAAGCTTTAATGTTCAAACATCAGATCCAACCATTCCATCTTGGCAATTGAATTCGAACACTAATGATGATGACGTCGTAAAGGAAAGTATCAAGAATGTTGGAGTACCCTCTTGGCAGTTAAATAGTACCAGTACTTCAATTTAGCGAGATTCTTTGTTTTCTATTGTATCTTTTCTTTATAGAAATTCTCAGTTTTTAATGCTATACTTAGTTCCGTGCTATTAATTTTTATTTGGTGAGCGCGCTATGAAATCCTCGACGAGTCAACAAATATCAAAATTTAACATTTCTCTCCTCTTTATTCATAGAGATAAAATACTAATCCTAATTAAGAACACATCCTATAAAGTCGTGGATTTCTTGTTGTGTATCCTATTCAGATCTATTTGACGTTGCTGTTTCTTTCGCTTATTAATATAAAACAAAAACATCATAGTTATTGAAAAATTGATCTTCAATACTCGCTCGTTAAATATCTTTTATACTTGTTCATTTTTTAATTTCATTGGTCCTGGTTTCAGTTTTTGATTTGCTTTTGAGATTTGGGGTTCTTATATAAACTGAAGATTGATTTGGTTAAGTATCGTTTTATTTGTATTTGGTTTTGCAAAAAATATCAGTTAGGTTCTGTTTTAACTATTTATTGATTTTAAGAAAAAAGGAGTTTAAAATACTTGGATTTGATTTTAAAAATATTATGCATATATAGAAAGGATGTCAGTAACACAACCATCATCGCATGCGGCCGGAAGAAAAGATGAGAATGTCATCTACCCGAGGAGAGATTTAAACTCTATACCATTTGCTGAGCAGACAGAACTTATTAACAAGGTTTTATTGTCTGAGAAGAGTAGCAAGGTGAATTCATGTTTCACGGCTGAAAGTCGCTATGGTAATTTAAAGCATAGCCAGTCGAACAGAGCCAACGTGCAGTCAAGTGGTAATGCTCCGCTTCAGAAGCAACAAATTTACTCGCTTCACGAACAGTCTGTCAACCATCAAAGTGCACACCAGCTTGCTAGGCAACAAAGTCTTCAACAAATGCAGCAATATCAACAACAGCTTGCTTTAATGAATAATTCCTCTGGTTCTGTATTTGACGCCAATAACTATCATCAAAATTCTATTGATATGAAGAGCAAACACAACACGCTCCACGATGTCGAATCTATGCCGTCTCCGCTGATATACACATCAGTTGGAAAGGCATCGAACATATTTGAGCCATCAAACCTGACAGATTTGCGGTTCAATTATAATGCTTCTACTGGTTCACAGCTCAGTGGAAATAAGGCCTCCCCTCCAATATTTGATTTGTCTGACTCAAGGTCGTCCAATGTTCCTGTGTCTAGGTTGTCGAACAGCTCCACGAGTAGCTTCCTCGATTCCCCTAGTTTGTTACATAGTCTACCATCGAATAATTGGACCACATCAGGAAATTCAATCTGGGGGTCTTCAAACTCCCCGATGACTACACTGGAAGGCTCAGCTGGGCAGTCATTTGGGAAGCAAAGTGTAAGCAATCCACCCGCAGTGTTTGGGACATCGACCTTATGGTGATAATCTTTGCAACTTGTGTAGAAATCTGTTCACATAGCTAAAAGATAGTAATGGAAGATCTTCGATTAGATATATAACGTTTTTATTACATAATCATTTTAGTCAATATTGTAGTGGATTAGCTAAAAATACTTCCTCGCTCTTAAGTATGAGTTTAAACTAGGATCCAGCACAATTCTATAAAGTCCTCTTGGTAAGAAGCCCGGCTTATAGTGCTGCAGCAATGTCTACAATTGGCCTCGGAAAGCTTGTAAAACGAGCAGTTCTGAAGGGTATACCTCCCAAAGAGTTTATTTCTTTATACAAGCAGTTAAATGATGCGAGATCTATTAGTCCAAACGAATATCTCTCAGAATTACTAGATATTGACTCGAACAATACCACAGTGGCAATTAATAGACAAGCTTTATTCTGCATAGAGCTTTCTTTGAGCTCCATTGAGCAATTGAGCCTATTTTGGCTAAATCTAATAAAGCTTGATGACGCAAAGCAAATATTATTCTTGATCCAATTGAGTAAATATTTAAAGCATAATCACAAAAGTGTCACAAATAGTATTTTGATAGAGCTTATAAACAAGGAGCTTTTCAGCTACAGCATTTCAAAGCTTGAGGCTGAAAACAAGTCATTTTCGACAGAGGAGATAAACTCGTTTGTAGATCATGTTGTGTTTCTTTGGGGGCTCTTGTTCGATATCTTACCAGACTTATTCCAAACTGATACTGTGAAAAAAATACTTGTTTTGTCAAATAGTTTACCTAGGAATGAACAAACGAACTATATGACAATGAAATCGAAGAAATTGTTGAAAACTAGCGACATGAAGATAGAAATTTTATCCTCAAGTGAAAATTCAAATACAAAAAGCACTTATAGCCAGAAAAATATTTTCTCCTTGAATAATGATGGCAATTCAAAAGTACAGGAGTTTAAGAAACTATTTTGGGTTAGCTTTGCGATCAAATCTTGGCGGTTTGAAGATAATGATAAATTTTTGGACAGCTTCAAGAAAACAATTAATAGATTTGAGAATCTGCTGAATGAGTTATCACCTGAGCTTATAAGGCTCTTACTTAAAGCATCGGCATATGCTAAGGTATCGCACGAACCCGATTACGTATTATTTAACTACAAGAATTTCATTACATCAAGGTTGCCAATCTTATTATCCAAGCTTAATCAAAATGATAGTAAGAGAATAGAGAATGCAATCCATCTGGCATTTAAAGGCACTTCTGAGAGCACTCTTCAAATTATTTCTGATTTCAAGATTGCCGGGTTTCCTTGTACTGATCTAAGAAAAGCATTTATAAAAAGTTGTATTGCTAATGAACTAATACCTATTCATGCGAGATTGAACTTTTTTGCACAAGACGAAAGCATGTCTCAGCAGGCTTTAATACATGAGTTGAATCAGCATAAGTTGAATATTGACATTAAACATGAACTCAATGAGAAATTATTGGATGTGAATACTGAATTTACATCTTTAAGCGAATCAGGATTAGCAGAACTTATGGTTTCGCTTCCTAATATATTAGAGTTTCTGTATACAGATCAAAGTTCCTCTAGTGCAATCATCAGCGAAGTCATAGATAATTTAATTGCTGAAAGGGACAATGAAAAACTAACAAGGCTCTTATTATCGTTAAGCAGCAATACTGAGGTTTTGAAATTATATGTCTTCAACTGCAGGGGTGGGCCGTTTTTATTACTTAACAAATTGATCAACTACATAGATTTTGGAGAATTTGGGATAGATGATGAAGACAGCTCACAAGACCTGTTCTCTCATTTTGGAATTACGCTCTTGAGTATCATATCGTTGGTAGAGGTTTTTAAAATTGACTTCTCAAAATTCAGCATAAAAACTTCTTATGTTTCTGATTATTTGAATTCGTTCTATTATAGGTTGTGTGATAACTTGACCCTGTCGGAACCGAGCAATTTGTCAAATGATGAATCTACTATTATTGCTAATTACAATAGTTTGTTGAGTGATTGGATAGATGCGTTGTTTGACGATAATAATGATGGACTCTCAGACGACTTAATCAAATCAGTGAACGTTAAGCAAATATTTAAAATGATCCCAATCATTTACCAGCGATCAATAATTGCTACTAAAAGTGGCAAGATTGACTTCAAAATTTTAAGTAATGGACTTGACTATTTGAGTCAAGTTTTTCTAGTATCTTGTACCTTAAGCATCATAAGATGGTTAGTCTCCTCCATCTCCTTCAGTGAAAATAGTTCAAGCCTTACTTGTAAAATTTTATGTGAATTAATCATGTCTAACACTCCAAATGAAGATGATAATGAACTCAACAGTGAGTCTTATCTTGCATTTAAAATAGTTTTGAACTTGACCGGAATGGATATTTTGTCGACTTTAAGGAAGGCTCCTCAAGGATCTTCAGGTCCAGTCAGTGTCACAATTGATAGAGTCAATCGAGTCTTAGGGGATGGCCCCTCTTCAGGCCCACTAAAGAAGGTAAAGCTAAATTCCTCCTTAAACTTAGCAGAACAATTCAAAAACGAGCTAATAACCATTGTGCACAAAAATCAATTAGATTATCTGCTAATAATTAGGTTTCTTGAACTAAATGATTATGAATTGACTGATCTCATTATCGATCAAACTGTGAACTCACAAAAATCAAACAACGATGATCATAAGATTTTCATTCAATTATCAATATATCTCATTCTTCTTAACACGATCAGGTCAAACAATGATATCAGTTCTTGCAAAATGAAATTTGCTTCATCATCACATCAATATCTGAGCATTTTAGATGGCGCAATTACAAGTGATAAGGAATTTACGTTGACGTTGGATTTTCATTATTCGAGCATATTCAATGATCAAGGAACACAAGATGAAGAAAATGACGATCTCTTCAATGAAAATTCGTCGAAATTTTATCGGCAGGATGAAATCAGATCTCACTCAGCCCTTTCCTTCAGTTCGTTGTTCGACCTAATTGCAAGGACTGAGGTTTGTGAAAGCGAACGTGCAAATATAAACAGGGCATTGAAATCTATTAGGCAACTTTTAGTAGAAGAATTGGAGAAACTTGCAATTTGATGTGATTATTCAGAATTGTCAATTCGATCTTGTATGCTATATTCCATAATATGGAAGATAGAAATTTTGCAGCAACTCGTCCTTTAAAAATCTTGCTCCACCATTTAGCGGAAGTATTACTTCTGGCTCCCGAATAGAGAATGAACACCGATATGCTTTTCACTGTAGCATTTACATTACAATACTGATATTTTGAAAATTCATAGCTGTATATTACATAATTTATCGATCCATATCTTATTTACACTTTAGTTTCCAATGTTTTGTGAATGCCTTGTATCTCTTCTGTTACTTCACTGTCGGAAACAGTGTCAAGATTCGATTTAGGTCCCGAATAGACACGGTAGCCGAATCCATAGTAATATATGAGGGAAAGGAGCCACACTCCACCATTGATTACACAAGTATAATTCATCGTCTCCTTGTCGACTGCCTTATCGTCAGGAAACATAGACATTATTATAACGTAAACGACCCAAAATACTGTAGTTATATTAATTATCTTGGTTCCCACTTTTCCAAAGTGGAACGGTCCGAGGAGAAATCTTTCTTTTCCATATGGGAGCAACACCAAAAAGACTGGAAGACCCCACGCTAAAAGGTTTCCAGCAACCGCCAAAGAGAATAGCGCATTAGCAGCAGTCACATCGATTAATATCAATAACCCTAACACTAATGACAAAATTCCTCCGAAGATTGTTGCTCTAACGGGCACTGCGAGCCTTGGCTCAACGTATTTAATTATGTTGTAAATAATTGGTAAACCATCATCTCTTGCAAAGGCCCAAATCTGTCTAGAAGCGGCAGTCAAAATAGAACAACTCATCAAGTACTGCCCAACAGAAATAAGCAGCATGAAAGCAACTGCCCATCTCTTTCCCAATGCATCATATATTATTTGTGCCATTGCCAGTCCCGTGTCAGTCATAAGAATTCTTTCAACATTGCCGTCTTTGATAACAGCGCAGCATACAATACAGATACACCAGCCAACTATCCAACACACTGTTATACTTCCCATAATACCAATAGGGATACCTTTATTTGGATGGTTTAATTCTTCAGTTAAATGAATTACTGAGTCAAATGCACCAATTGTCCAAATTGCAGGCATCCAAGAGAGCATAAATGACCAGCCCTTGCTCCATGTCCTATAATTTTGTACCTCAGCGAAAATAAAATGAGCACTATTAAATGAAAAGCTGTTGGACACACCAATTGGGACAGCTATAAAAAAGAGGATGATGATAAACACATTGACACAAATTGAAACGCTTTGTAATGTCGCTGAATACTTTGTAGTGGCACAACAAACTCCTATGTTTGTTACCACACAAGCTGCAAAAACACCGTATAATTTTCCTTGAGTAATGTTGAAGTTTCCATCCATGTTAATATAAACGGCAGAGAGGACCTGACTTGCAAATCCATATGAAATCAGACAAAGACCACTACATAATGCCATTGTATTTGAACAACCCACCAAAAAACTCAAGGGAACACGGAATGAGTCTGGACAATAGTAATTGGTCCAGTAATACAATCCACCTGATGTTGGTAAAGATGTACCCAAAAAAGACATCAGAATACCAGTCGATAAAATAAAGATACCCGATAAAAACCAACCCCAAACGAGACCAGCAGGACCAGCTTCAAGTCCAGTGGCTAAGGTTGACGCAATACTGGGTAAGAGACCCATGATACTGAAAGCGATACCTGCAAATGTTAGTACTGAGCTTATTTTAATAAACAATAAACATCTCTTAGTTTTACATACCAAAAGCCTGAAGATTTGAATAGTGTCTTCTTAACTCTTGCTTGTATCCAATTTCTGCCAAAAGTTCAACTTCGTTGGCAGCATGTAAAGGGTCTACTGCCCTCACCTCTGAACGATGCGAAGCGATATGGCTCATATGCATGCTAGCATGAGACTTGATGTCTGTAAGCACATTGCCTGAGCCAATAGATTTGACAGTTTGGAGTGGATTTCTTGCGGTCCCCATGATACTTGTCTACAGTAGTTGAAGAACGACTCTCTTTCAAGTTTATAGTTTATATACTATATGTACCTCTTGTTCCCTGCGCATGTCACCCAAGCGGTTGCCCTTTTCGGATTGATAACAAAAGCGATAACAAAAGCCGTTTACAAAGGTGTGCGCATTTACGGAATCGAATCAGAACAATCAGATTGCGGGCAGATTTTGATATAATTATTGAGCCGCCCTCAGGTATCTGCTATCTCGTTATAATAATATGCCTCGGAGATTGGCAAAGACTTATCGAAAACTCTATGATGTGAACAGCTCATAAGGATCTCATCTACAGACAGTGTTAATAGAGACTAGGCCAAACGAATTTAGAGTCACTTTTGACGAGCACACTTACATTAGAGAACCTGCAATTGAAAAAAAAAAACCCTTACACCTTAAATAGGGAAAACTTCACTCTAAATGGAACCAACTGCAGATAGAAGCAAATAAGATTTATGTTCTAGTTTGACCTATCAGAAATTCACGGGAGGATGTCTTTCCGCAACGCTGATCTCGATCCCGGGAGGAGATTCTTGGTCAGCACAACATTAAAAAGCCACAAAAAACTTGCCCTTTTGAGATATAGATTGGAAATCACAACAAAGGAAAACTTAGCAATGAAATGGGTATTCCAGAATGTTTTTGCTAGAATGGTTCGGATGGTTGCAAAAGGCAAGATGTGACGATCAAGTCTAAACTTCATCTCTGGTGATAAAAGGACGTGCATGGCAAAATCGCGTACGCGTATTATTAAGCCCTGTATTGAAAGAACTTCTCTTGCAATAGTAAAAACGTAGGAGCTTAAGAGATCAGGTACAACAAAGAGTAATTCTAGCGCTATGTCCCAAACGAAGAGACATTTTGAGGCGATTCACCAGGACCAAGCTCATTCGCTTCCTGCTGCAACTGAATCGTTGACTACGTCTCAAGTTGAGTTGACAGATTCTCATAAAGAGATTTTGAAGAAACTCAAGAGACCATCAGCGGAAGATGGGCCTTCACAATTTGAAAGGGAATTGCTTAATATGACGCAGCATGCTGGTGAGTTTGCTGAAGAGGGAGATCAAAGTTGGAGTCGTCCTTCTCTTTCTGCTGACTTTTATTCTGGTAACAAGGATGTGGTATTTCAACAACTAGATGCTGAGGAAACCACGATGGGAGACAATACGATCGCCAAATTTTTTGGAGTGACAGAGGAAGGTCATTCTGTTTTATGTAACGTTGCTGGGTTTTTGCATTACTTTTATGTTCCCGTACCGAAGGGCTTTATTAGGGATCATCATTTAGTGAAATTTATTAATTACATTAAGACCAACTATGATGGTGTTCATGATATAGACATAAAGTTTAAGGAGTCCATATGGGGATACAACAAGAAGATCAAAACACCTTTTTTCAAGGTAGTTGTCAATAATAGTAGAAATATTACAAAGTTGAGGACAGCATTTGAAAGAGGAGAGATCAGGTTTGAGAATCTCTTCCCAGATCAAAATGTATCATATGATAATATAAATTATTTACTTAGATTGATGGTAGATTGCAAGATCACTGGAATGTCTTGGATTACTTTACCCAAAGGCAAATACGAAATGGTGAAGGATCACCTTAAAATTTCGACATGTCAGATCGAGTGTACGATCAATTATAAGGATTTAGTCTCTCATGCATCTGAGGGCAAGTGGTTAAAAATGGCACCGCTTCGTATACTTTCCTTTGATATAGAATGTGCGGGGAGAAAAGGGATATTTCCTGAGGCTGAACATGATCCTGTAATCCAAATTGCTAACGTAGTTCTGAAATTTGGAGAATCAAGACCTTTTGTCAGAAACGTCTTCACAGTTGATACTTGTTCTTCAATAATTGGATCTCAAATATTTGAGCACAAAACAGAAGAAGAAATGCTAATGCATTGGAAAGACTTTCTTGTGAAGGTCGATCCTGATGTTATCATAGGTTATAATACTGCCAATTTTGATTTTCCTTATCTTTTGGATAGATCTAAAGCATTAGGTTTGTCTAAATTTCCGTTTTTTGGAAGATTAAAATCAGTAAGAAACGAAGCCAAAGATTCGTTCTTCAGCTCTAGAGCTTATGGTACTCGTGAAAACAAGGTAGTTAATATTGATGGTAGAATGCAGTTAGACCTATTGCAATTCATTCAAAGGGAGTATAAATTGAGATCTTACACGTTGAATTCTGTGTCTGCGTACTTTTTGGGTGAACAGAAAGAAGATGTCCAGCATTCTATAATTACAGACTTGCAAGCAGGTAGCAAAGAAACGAGGCGACGCTTGGCCGTATATTGTTTGAAAGATGCATATTTACCATTAAGGCTATTGGAAAAGTTGATGTGTCTTGTTAATTACACAGAGATGGCTAGGGTAACAGGGGTTCCATTTTCTTACCTTTTAGCAAGAGGTCAACAAATAAAGGTTATATCTCAGCTCTTCAGGAAATGCTTGGAAGATGATATTGTAATACCTAATATGAAAAGCGAAGGCGGCAACGAAGAATACGAAGGAGCTACTGTGATTGAACCCGTGAGAGGCTATTATGATGTTCCTATAGCCACATTAGATTTCAGTTCATTGTATCCTTCCATCATGATGGCGCATAATTTGTGCTACACAACTCTTTTGAATCCTCAAACGATTAAAGCTTTTAACCTTACTGATGACGACTATACGAAGACCCCTAATGGTGATTATTTTATTAAGGAAAATAAGAGGAAAGGTATTTTGCCAACTATATTAAATGAATTATTGACAGCTAGGAAAAAGGCGAAAGCAGACTTGAAAAAGGAAAGCGATCCTTTCAAGCGGGATGTTTTGAATGGAAGACAACTTGCACTAAAAATATCGGCAAATTCAGTGTACGGATTCACAGGTGCAACTGTCGGAAAGCTTCCGTGTCTTGCCATTTCTTCGTCTGTTACAGCATTTGGAAGAGAAATGATCGAAAAAACCAAAAATGAAGTACAAGAATGTTATTCTATAAAAAATGGGCATCCATACGATGCGGAAGTCATATATGGCGATACGGATTCAGTCATGGTGAAATTTGGCTATCAGGATTTAGCGACTTGTATGAAACTTGGAGAAGAGGCAGCGAGATTTGTTTCAACTAAATTTAAGGACCCTATAAAGTTGGAGTTTGAAAAGGTTTATTTTCCATATTTGTTGATTAACAAAAAGAGGTATGCTGGTTTATATTGGACAGGAACAGAAAATTTCGATAAAATGGATACTAAAGGTATAGAAACAGTGAGAAGAGATAATTGTAGATTGGTTCAAAATGTTATTACAAAGGTCTTACAGTTCATTTTGGAAGACCGAGATGTACAAAAGGCACAAAGATTCGTAAAGCAAACTATTGCTGACCTTCTTCAAAATAGAATAGACTTGTCGCAATTAGTAATCACCAAAGCCTATTCAAAGCAAGACTATGCTGCTAAACAAGCTCATATTGAATTAGCAGAGAGAATGAGAAAAAGAGACGCAGGTTCTGCGCCAACTCTAGGTGATAGAGTAGCCTATGTCATCATAAAAAATTCTTCCAGTGACAAAAATTATGACAAATCTGAAGATCCTTTGTACGTGTTGGAGCATTCATTGCCCATAGACGTTAAATATTATTTGGATAATCAATTAACGAAGCCATTAGAGAGGATTTTTTTGCCAATTTTAGGTGAAGCGAAGACTAAGGAATTATTAGCAGGTGCTCATACAAGAACTATTAAAATGTCAGCTCCAAAAATGGGAGGCTTGATGAAGTTTGCTAAAAAGGCAGAACTTTGTAAAAATTGCAAAACTCCTTTAAAATCAAATAATAAAGGTGCTTTATGTCCAAATTGCATCCAAGAAGCTCCTAAATTGTACGGTGATGCGCTATCTCAAATGAATTATTTAGAGAACAAGTTCTCACGTTTGTGGACTGAGTGTCAGAGATGTCAAGGCTCTTTGCATCAAGAAGTTTTATGTTCCAACAAAGATTGCCCCATTTTTTATATGAGAAAGAAAGCTCAGAAGGATGTACATCAACAAGCTTTGGAGCTCGTGAAGTGGGAACACACAATGTGGTGAGCTTTCGGGTTTTACGATTTTGAGGAACTAAACTTCAGTCGTTTATGTAAATATATAACTTACTAAATCTTAGTTTAAAGATTTTATAGTTGGTCTTTCGCTGCCATCCACTAATTCATATTACGACACCTAATAGAAACCACAGGAAAATCAATCCGAGCCACAAAGGGGGTTTGTCTCTATTCTGCCAACTCCAGTTCCATCGATGACTTGGATGGAATTGCACTCTCAGTAACTGATCTAGTATTCATAGACAATTGACCAGGTCGGCCATTTCCCAAATGTTCATTAGAATCCAAACGTCTGATCTCTGGGCTCATAGGGTCGAGCAAGGACTCAGACAGATCAGTCACAGGTGCTGAATGAACAGAAATATCAGTCGTATCTTTTATAGGCGAGCTCGAATGAATTTCGATCACTCTACTATTTCTTGGACTTGTGCCGATGTTCGTCAACAAATTATGGTTGTTTTTAATTGATCCTTTCTTCAAGTTTTTAGCAAAGTCCGATGTCCTATTACTGTTGTTTTGTTTTGACAATTCTTTTAGTTGTCTGATATTGTGGATACACTTACTGATAGTCTGCATGAGTAATTTAGGTTTCAATGGTTTTGAGACATAATCATCCATTCCTTTTGCTAATGACCGTTCTCTATCACCCAACATAGCGTGTGCCGTTAATGCGATGATGGGTGTTCTAAATGTTAATGAATCAATTGGATTTGACTTCTTTTCCCACTGCCTTATTTTTTCTGTAGCTTCAAAACCACCCATAACTGGCATCTGGACATCCATCAATACAACATCATATCTATTCTTCTTAATCGCTTCATATGCCTCTAATCCATTCTCTACTACTTCCACCTGATGGCCCTGTTTTTCCAAGATCCGGACCGCTAATTTTTGATTGACCAAGTTATCTTCAGCCAACAAAACCTTGTAGCTAACAGATTCGTCTGTATTCTGAGATATAGATCTAGATTCTAGTGCCGGTATTATAGCACTTGCAAGATCACTGATTGTACATGGTGTGTTACCGTAAGAAGAAATGCCTAGATCAATGCACACCCTCATATTAAGTTCTGGAATTGAATGATGTAATAATACTAAAGGAATGTATTTCACTTCCGGTAGAAGCCTCAAATTTTTAGCGGTTTCAATCGAATCAATCATTATGGTGTCATATTTGACAGGCTCCGTAAGGTTAGCATCAGCAATATTATGCACGATAATTGGTTGCAACCCTAATTCAATGATGCCATTTTTAATGTCTTCTAATTCATTTTCAGCATGTTCCGTTGATATGAAAAGGATATAATGGGAACTGAATGGAAGGAGTTGCTCTGTTTGCCTTGTATATCTAATACTCGAAGGAGAAACACTCACAGTAAAGTAGAAGTTTGAACCCTCGCCATAGTCCGACGTAACCCAGATTTCTCCACCCATCAAGTGAATAAGCTGCTTTGAAATTGACAAACCGAGACCTGTCCCTCCAAATTTTCTCGTAGTAGATCCGTCAGCTTGGCAAAATGTATCAAATATTAAACCTAACTTGTCTTTCTCAATACCGATACCCGTATCACTAACACAAAATTCTAAAAGTAATTTACGATTGTCTTCAGCCACTTTATCAGACTTTTTCACACTCACAGTCACCTTTCCTTGCTTGGTAAATTTTATTGCATTTCCAGCTAAATTCAATATAACTTGCCTTAATCTAAATGAATCACCAATCAAATTATCAGGGAAAGAGGAATCACACTGATATTTTAAATCCAAAGATTTCTCAATAGCCTTTACCGCTAATGTCTTTAAAGCGCCGAATACTGTGCCTCTTAATGAAAAATCTATCTGTTCAACTGTCATTCTGTTTGCCTCAATTTTCGAGATATCCAAAATATCGTCTATAATTGTCAATAAAGAGTTTGCCAAGTTATGAACAATCGAGAGCATTTCTCTTTGGTACTGAGTTAGCTCGGTGTCCAAAGAGAGCTGTGTCATACCAATTATACCATTTAGCGGAGTTCTTATTTCATGGGACATATTAGCTAAGAATTCTGATTTAGCGCTGTTAGCCAACTCTGCTGCTTCCCTTGCAGCTGTATTTCTTTGAATAGATTCTCTTAAATTCAAAACCATTTGATTAATCTTTGTTTTCAAAGCGTCCATTTCACCAGAAGCTTCGACAGTAATAAATCTTGTGAAGTCGCCATCAGTAGCAGCTGCTGTAATCTGAGCAAAAGCCCTAACTTGGGAAGTTAAATTAGATGCCATTGTATTGACATTAGACGTGATCTCTTTCCATAATCCATCTACATCGCTCACTTGAGCCTGAATTCCTAATTTACCATTAATACCGACGTCTCGTGCAACCTTCGAGACCTCAGATGCGAAAAGTTGTAATGAGTCAACCATCTTATTGATGGTATTCTTTAGCTGCAAAATTTCACCTTGGGCATGCACATCAATCTTTTGAGATAAATCACCATGAGCAACAGCAGTTGTAACAGTCGCAATGGAACGCACTTGATTCGTCAAATTAGTTGCCATCAAGTTCACGTTTTCAGTCACCGCCTTCCATGCTCCTTCGACATCTTGAACATTAGCTTGGCCCCCTAAAATACCTAGAGTACCGACTTCCCTAGATAGAGTGGTAACCTCCAAAGCAAAATTCTGCAATCGATCCACCATCTGGTTAATTGTCAATTTCAAGTTTAAAATCTCTCCTTTACAATCAGCAGTAACTTTCTTAGACAAGTCACCTTTTGCAACTGCTGTGGTAACGTTGGCTATGTTTCTCACTTGAGTAGTTAAATTAAGGGCCATTGCATTTACATTATCAGTTAATTCTTCCCATATACCTTCGACATTATCGATCAAAGCTTGGCCACCTAAAATACCCAAAACTCCAACATCTCTTGCCACTTTGGATACTTCAAATGCAAATTTTCGTAATTGGTCTACCATTGTATTGATCGTCATTTGTAACTGTAAAATTTCTCCTTGAGCATGAACGTTAATCTTTCTGGATAAATCGCCTCTTGCGACTGCTCTTGTAACGTCTGCAATTTCTCTCACTTGGTTTGTTAAATTGAGAGCCATAATGTTAACATTATCAGTCAAGGAACGCCAAATACCCACGGACCCCTCATTCTTCGCTTGTCCTCCTAATTCTCCGTTTGCAACTTCTGTTGCAACCTTTGTGACTTCGTTTGCAAATGCCTGTAATTGATCCATCATTGTATTGATAGTAATTTTGACTTTTAAGATCTCTGGATCGGATTCTACCGTGTGAATTTCAACTTTTTTTGACAAATCACCCATAGCAACAGAAATAACAACTGTGCCTATTTCACTCAAAGCTTGCTTAAATGCTTTATTTGCACCCTTGGATGTATCCAAATCTTCCTGTAGTTGATGTAATCTTGAATCCTGCTTCCTAATATGCTTCGCAAGATCATTTCTTAATAAATCTGATTTTTGTTTGAATAGATCAGGATTCTCTAGAATCCTAAGTAATTCTTGGGAATCCATAGCTTGAATTGGGTCTAATTTCCTTTTCTTGCCTGATCCCGAAATCTCTAACTGCAATTTGTTAATCGTTGGCTATTTATGAATAAAACTTTAAAGAACAATGTTGACAAACAACAATAAAGGTCACCAATTTTATCTGTAATAGTCGACAAATAAATCAAATTATCTATGTGAGTTAAGATGTGATTACCAGCTTAAATGTCTGCTCAAAAATATATTTGTTATGATATTGGCCCCCTATATCTAAACTTCACTAAATATCCTTTCTCGCCCTATGGTGTTGCACTCTTCTATCACTCGACTAGCACCTTCTTAGGTATCGGTGTCTTGTTCAATATCAAATTTACAAGATCAGATCTCTCCTTTTTGATTTGCCGATGATACTATTAATCAAGATTACGACAATAAAAATATTTCACACGCGGGAGAGCCTACCTTTCTACTTAAAAATAGATATTATCTACCCAAGCTTAGGAAAAAAAAGCTGTCCACGAACAAAACAAACCTACGAGATTAGACACGGACAATGTCGCAAATTACCGCGATGACCAGATTGCTCTACAAAGATATGACCTTCCATAGTTTCAGGACCAATCGTAAGAGGAAGGAGAGAGGGAGGAGTACAGTCAGCCTCAAGAAAAATAATAAAGTGTCATAATCCGTAGCGGATTGTCTGGCTGATGGGTACTCGGTGCAGAACAACAGCAGAAAAGGAGTACAATAGAAGAAAGGACTAATGTGGCAACAACAATTTACTTTCGGTGCATCGCGAAGTCGAACATTAAAGACAGTTAACGGAAACAATTATGAGCTCCATGACATTAAGTAAATCTTAACCTAATGTATAATTGACGTTGCAAATATTTCGAATATCGAAAACATGTTTGACGACGTTTTTTTGCGTGCTGAACACGCAAAATCGTAGACGAGACAACCATGTGGTAAATACAATTATGCCTGGCCAAGGTATCAACGGTAGCTCAAAACATTGTTGCAGGTGGCCGTTTCAAGTTCGAAGTGCACATAGACAGCCGAATTACGTAAATCCGACTGAGGTTTTATACAGTGTGATTGTTCATGAGTTATCTTTGTTCTTGTAGATGTAAAAGAGAGGATTTCTCGTATTTCGCACACCTCAAGTATAATAGGTTTCATGTGAATTACGATTCAAAAGTCGCTTGCACAGTACTTTTTATCACAGAAATACATTTGTATCAATGAATAAGCTTGAGTGATTGGCTGGACAACTGATGTCATATAATGATTTTATTATGGGGATATTAAAACATATGCGATGACCAGTGGGTATGAAGAGAAGAAAAGCCATTATATTACTAGTAGAGATTTGCAAGGTTTAGCAGCAGGAACGGTAAAGTAACTCCGTATATATGTTCGCTTAAGCTACACGAAATGTGAGG